AAGATCTGTAAGAGAATGATATCTTACCTTGATATATCAGACAGAGTATAGTCTGTTGTGGTGGTTGAAGTTGAAAAAGTTTTTAAGAGAAAGAATTGAAGATTTGAGATTAGGAATGAAGATTCATGAAAACTTGTGTAGATTTTGTTTATTGAGAAAGGATTTTATATAAAAGTTTGACGAGGTTCCTACACTGAACTACTACTGCTATTTATATTATTTTGAATCAGGAAAATTATATGACTGGGGTCAGGTAATCGATTCTATCTGAGCCTTAATCAGAGCAACGTGATCTTGGGATAATTAATTTATGATTAATTATATAAATGTGTGTAGTCCCAATGAAGTATTAATATCAAAAGTAAATGTGTTTATGAGTTATAATTATGCTTATAATGATCCACTGATGTATCCCATATTATAGTGATATCATCATATGAAATATAATCACTATCATGCATGCTAAACCTGTGTGTTAAATAATAAAGTAATCAGTAGACACCTTTGACTGGAATAGCTGAGGCCTTATATTATTTCTTTCAGACTTATTCTCAATTACAGCAGTAGTCAATACTCATTTATAACATAGCCAAACAAAGAGACACATATTTGGTATTGAGCTATAAAAGAAAGAAAAAATTATAACTGAAATTGTAAAAACATAAGCAAAAGAGAAACAAAGAAAATATTAATAATAAATGTTGCTAAAAGAAAAAAAAAAGACTTGTCTTAAAATCCAGTTTGACCCTGACAAAATGCGGGCAGTAAAAAGTAATACTCCAAAAGAAGATGACCACTGTCATCTTGAAATACTACTTTGTGCTTCATTGAGTTAGAAAAGAAGTTGTCTAAATGTGGATCAAGCGGTTGGGAGATGTGCTTAAATATCAAATGAAAGGTAGAGAGTTAATCTGCACCGCTTATCCTCTTTACTAGCATGTGAATTTTAAATATGATATAACAAGTGTAGTGAATTGTACAATATTAGTTGAAAATTATTAATATTTATTTTATTAACAGAAAATGACAAAGCGCATTCCTACTGCTCCCCGCCAACCCAACCTATGCATAAATTTTGTAATAGCACAATTGCAGGTGTTGTTGCTCCAATTGATACACCAACTCCAGAAGTAGCAGTTGACACAGCCCCTGAAGTTCAAGTTGCTGTGACCCCAATGGATCACATTCTTACCTTGTTGACAGCCAACAATGTGTCAATGCAATCCTTACAAGAAAATGCAAAAGGAGTGACTGATGCAATAACTCATTTGAAGAATGGCCTGGATTTGTCTAACAAGACAAATGAATTTTTGAAGAACTCGGTCCTTCAGCTCATGACTGAAAATGACGAAATAAAAAAGGCAATGACCAGCCAAAATTCCGTGATGCCTTCTGCTGTACAAGCGGATTCTTCTTCTTCCATAGATAATGATCTTGACCTTAAAGCGAAATATCATCTCTTGATTTCTGTAAGTAAATTGATAATAATATTACTGATTAATATATCTAATACTGTTTTTATAGCAACTTATCAATAGTTACATCAAGAAACCAAACTTTGTTAGCACAGACCCGCTCAAAGTTGCTGAGAATAATAATAGATCAGCATGGTCAATGACTGGCACGTATGACGATAAGTACAGCAAGACACTTGCACTGGCTCTCTTCAAGTACATGAGACCTCAAAGATGTTGCACAAATGTGTCAAAGAGTGTCATTATAAATATAATAAAGAATCACTACCAAAATCAAGTGTGAGTCTTCCAGACCTCAGCAGAGAAGATTATGGCTAGAAATAAAGCTGGAAGAAGACACAACAGAAAGAAGACTGTTGTGGTGGTTGAAGTTGAAGAAGTTTTTAAGAGGAAGAATTGAAGATTTGAAATTAGGAACGAAGATTCGTGAGAACTTGTGTAGGTTTTCTTTATTGAGAAAGATTTTGTATCAAAGTTTGACCAGGTTCCTACACTGAACTACTACTGCTATTTATATTGTTTTGGATTGGGAAAATTATATGACTGGGGTCAGGTAATCGATCCTATCTGAGCCTTAATCAGAGCAACGTGATCTTGGGATAACTAATGTATGATGAATTATATAAATGTGTGTAGTCCCAATGAAGTATTAACATCAAAAGTAAATGTGTTTATGAGTTATAATTATGCTTATAATAATCCACTGATGTATCCCATATTATGGTGATATCATCATATGAAATATAATCACTATCACACATGCTAAACCTGTGTGTTAAATAATAAAGTAATCGGTAGACACCTTTGACTGGAATAGCTGAGGCCTTATATTATTTCCTTCAGACTTATTCTCAATTACAGCAGTAGTCAATACTCATTTACAACAAAGACCATAAGTTTTAAAATAAAGTTAATTTACTATTGATTTAATGTTTTAATACAATATTCTTTGGTAGCTTCTTGACCATTGTATTATCACGTACCAGACATATACAGAGGCTATTCATGAGGGCATGAATCGATATGATTGTGGAAATATTCTTTCTATTGACATGATGTCTGATGGCGAGTCAGATGGAGATAACAAAGTGCGGGCATATTGTCTCAGCTGGAGAACTGATGAGGTAATGTTAAACATCTATTTATGTTTTAAAGAAAATAATAATACTTTATTAATACTATTTATTCTTTAAACCAGCTCCAGACGTTTATTAGTACTATTGATGAACTTACTGTTATCCGTTTGAAGAAAAATTCAGAAAGCTTGAAAAAGCACATCCCTTATGAGAAAGAATTGAGCATTCCCAAGAATTTGGAAGTCACTTTACCAGATTGGTGCTTTTCAAAATAAATCATTTTTTTCTTGCCAACTATTTTAGAGTCTTTTTTCTACTTGTTTATGTTTACGGATTAGCATGATATATACAGATGCATGTATAGCATGCCAAGTACAAACAAAAATTTATAGAAATAATAAAAAATAGACATGCACCTATATATATTAGTCTGTATTAATTAATATTTCTTTTTTATACGTGTTTTATTTTTGTATTTGAATCTAAATATATATTTTTCATGGCAAAGGAACTACACACATCTGAACTTCGCCTTCTAAACCAAGGTGCTTGCCTACTGCGACTGGATAGCAGATTCTATGCACTGGGAGAATGCTGTTCATGCTGTCATCTTCGAACCTCACCTCATTCACCTCAACTCCTTCTCCTGTTCTGGGCTGAAGTAAAACTTCCTTGTACCATCGTATATATGCAAATACATGTTGGCTTGCATGACCAGCAAATGAGTTTACAGCAGTATTGACAAAGAGGTACTGAATTTGACCTGCGTATGGCTTGGTACTTCTACCATCACTTGTCTCAAACAAGGCTTGCATGAACGACCCACGCTGATTCTTCGTTTTGCTCTTGTAGATTTGCCCAAGAAGATTGATTGATTCAAACTTCTATATCCAATTGTTAACAAAATTATCGGAATGACCAGCCTGACAATAATAAACAAGAGTTTGATCATTGTATGTCTTGCAATAGTATTCCAACAAATGCTCATACTCTGATTCATCCATGGAAATCTCCCCCTTTAGAGCTAAAGAAAGTGCGGAAGGGGGCAAAGGCTCGTTTCCCTTGATGATATCAAAGTTGATCTCAGGAGAATCAAGAAAAGTAGTGATATCGAATTGTATTGAGGTGGCAGTGGAAGTGGAAGTGGCTATGGAATTGGCAGTGGATGCAGTGAGCTCAAGGATGATTGCCGAATGCTCAGGTCAAATTATTGGCAAAGTTTGGCGAATAAGATCTCCCTTGTATGCTTCTTCAAGATACTTCTTCATATAGGTTCCCTCAAACCCGTCTTTTCTATTTGTTGTATAGTTTTTCAAGATACCATTGCATCTTTCGAAACTAAAAAGCCAATAGCCATAAATCAGGCCAAAGTTCAGTACAGTCTCTCGCAGATGAAGATGGAGATGCATGTTTGGTGAAAGGAATGGGGCTTTATACAACTTCTCGCACTCTCTGCAGAAAGTCTCCAAAGATTGATGGGCTTCATCAAGGTGAGCCATGGATATGTTTGGCATTGAGAGGTACTGGCATGCATTGACAAACGTTGTCCAGTTACCGAGATGAGCTTCAGGTAGATGACCACGCAGGAGAACAGGAGAGTACACCAAGCACCAAGACTTCCACTCGTCGGCCTTCATGAATAGGAAGCCACACCCAATCTTTGTCCCTAATGGCATGTAGTCCTCTGGCAGTACAAGCTTGTCAGCATCCAACTGTATTTCGGCCAAGTGTGCATCTGTGATGAGACCTGAAGATCTCCATTTCACCATTATCCTCTTTGCTGTTCCGAGGTACAGGTTGTGCATCGGATCAATGACAGTGCACTCCACGAGGTTAAAGTAAACCAGGTCATGCAATTCTGACCATTGGACACCATTTTCCCTCTCCAATCTCTTTCTCTGTGCATCACTGCTGGCCATTCTTCATAACTTGGCATCACAGCAGTTTTTGGCATCAGTGCGAGGCACCCACTCAGAAACACGAACCCAGAGTAGTCCACAGCATTGGAGTCTGGAAGGTGATGGAACTGTCGGTTGCACTTATTGCATACACATGTGCTTGAATGAGAGGTGAACCCACAAGTCTTACAGGCAGCAGGAATGTCACAGGCAACAAGAAGAAGGGCAGCACGGACAAGAGTACCAGATGGGCACTGTACGGTAGGCATCACCACACCGTCATACAACTGGTTGAGTTCCACGGCAAGGGGATGGAGGTAGTGATTGATCTCACTTGTCTTTGCTTTCTTGGGCCCTGGCATGAGACCAACGAGAACAACATTCTCCTTCTTGTACCATTCTGATCTTGGCAAGTTGTTGATGTAAAGGTATATCGCACCACAGGAGTAAGTGACCCCATCGAAAGGTTGAAACCAATCGATGTTCATGGTAAGCATTATGGAGCGCTCATGATTCACAAATGATAAACCATTGCTATCCTTCAGACTGTTCTACTTTGTACCATCGTAAATGTCAAACATCAAGCCTGGAACTTGCACTCTGATTCTCCAATGGTTGATGGTGTCTTCGAATCCAGGGTGGCAAAAAAGGATAGACAATGTTTTGATTATGGAGTTATACATGTAGATCTTTTTGGGGATAGTCAAAGCTCTTGATGTTGCAAAGAAAAGAGCGTTTCCACATTCTCTACCAGAGAGTCTCTCGAAATTACAGCACTCTGAAACAACATCGGACTTTTCATATACTTTATTACAATTGCCACATGCAACAAACCGCTGGACACCTCAAGTCACGTTGCTGAGACCGGTCATAGAGTTGACACCGTTTATACTGAGGGGAAGACGGAAAGACTGTCCAAAGTGTGCCAATACTTCGTTAAGAAACTTTAACAGAACAGCACCACCAGAATTGACAACATATTTGGATATGAAGAAGGCAGCAAAAGAAGCAATGAAAGCATGAGTAGGATTGACTGGCATATTGGATGAAGAAAAGTGCTCTATTTGAAAAAAAAATCAATACTTGTTGACTTTATTGATTTATATGTGCTTTTTGTACTAACCTCTAATATCATCAGATTCATCGTCAGAAATATCCAAAATGGTTGCTTCAATGACACCCTCATCTTTGCTTTAAGAATCAAACAAGGAATCAATGTCAAAAAGAGGTAAGTCTTCGGCTGTTTTGTTAGGTAAAAAAGAATCAAATTATTAGATATTATAAACGATTATAAAACTTTAATAAAAAAACTATGCATATCTTCAACTTGATCTTCGGCATCAACATTGTCTTCAAAGTCAATTTCTATGTCATTGTCATTCGACATTACTTCTATAACTGAGGCTATATTATATGAAAATAAATATTTAATTAAAATTGTCTCAATAATAATTTTCTTAAATTTGAACTTACAAGAAGATCCTGACTGATATAGTCTCATGATATCCTGTTGTGCATGTCTTCTGAGTGTTTGGGTAGACACCAAAACAAATCTCATGCTATTGGAAGAGTATTTAGAGCACTTGCATTCTGAATTGTTGTTGTTGTTTGACATATTGTGTGTGTATGTTTTATTTTTTAAGTCTTTAGAATTGACAAGAATAGAGAATTGTTCAGGAACACAATTTAATATATATCTTTCCAAATTATACCAGCTTTCAAAATGACATAGTTTATTCCGGTTGTTAAAATGAGCAGTTCTCTAAACAGTAATTGGTTGCCTCATTCTAAAATACAATAATATACACTTTTGTTAAAACATGTTGTCATGTACATTTTATTAGCTGTAGAGCATATACAACAAAAATATTTGTAGTAATATCACAACCATTAATCTCATCATACTTATAAATAAATATTACAACAATAAAAAGCTTTATTACCTCACTCAAAAGATATCATTTGGTTTAAGTTCCCTACAACTATTGACTCTGCGACATGGCTACAAGTCCCAAAAAGAAATCTCGCAGACATTTTTTACAAAAAAGAGTTAGCTCATTTTTTTTATCCAATAAAACAGACCGAGCATTATCATCGCCATCGAAAATAAAAAAGACAAAAGTGATGGAAATTTAAGCTACCACTCCACAAATAATAGTACTCTATGTCATGGATGAAATTACCCTATTTTTCCAGTGTATATATATCAGATTGGCTGTGATCTACTTATATATATATCAGATTGGATATCATATGTTTATATATAGTGTACATCCTCTGTCATCAGCTTATATATATACCTAATTGGTGGGCAACAGCTTATATATATACTAGATTGGTGATCAACAGCTTATATATATACCAGATCAGCAGTCAACAACTTATATATATATCAGATTAGTAATCAACAACTTATATATATATCTGCTTGGTGGTCAACAACTTATATATATACCCAATTGACAGTTAACAACTTATATATATACCAGATTGACTGTTATCAGCTTATATATTTATTAGATTGCCTGTCATCAGGTTATACATATATGAGATATGCTGTCAATAGTTTGTATATATGCCAGATCGGCTGTCATCAGCTTATATATATAAGATTGACTATAATTATATTATATATACAAGCTAATCAATCATAATTAACTTATATATATATGAGATTATCTATAATTGATTTATATATAGTGTCAATTGGCTGTTGTTAACTTATATAATATTGCATAATCTAAGATATTTATATATAAATATATATAAATATATATATAAAATATAAAAAATAAAGTTTGTGTAACATATGTCATTATGCATATTTACATAACGTAAATAATACAAATGCATTACTTAAAAAAATTGGGCAATTTTGGCTATACTTGTTATATAACATGCATAATCATGCATAATCTCACATAAATGATCTACGTAAACAATACAATTGAATTGCTGAAAAAAATTGATAACTTTTGGCTATACTTGTTATGTATCTTATATTTAAAATCTTTTTAGATAGAACAGGAGAAGTAAGAAAAACTCTCCCTTGGAAAAAGCTTGCTAGTGCTCAGGGCACTATTAGAGTTGTTAGGTGGCCAACAGGTATGCCAATTATTTTACTCAGCTATATGACAGAATCTCAGCTGAAGTTATTGATTGATTCCCTTGATAAAAGACGTATTTCTTTTTGCCATTCTTTAGAGGGATATGCCTAACAAGCTCAATATCACTGGAAAAATGACCTGACATACCTATGTGTAAAGGCGTAGTTACTCAGGTGTCAAGACGAGGTTTAACATTGAGTCCAGATACATATCACCATGTAACAAGTTCGTCTTAGCACCATGTGCCATGACCAGCTACACACATGTGGGGGGTCAAATAAAAATGACAGGGATATAGTTCTTTAGCACTTTCGGTGTGTTGATCTGACTTGGGATATTGAAAAGAGTTTTTTGAAACCAAGGTTTTATTTTTATATGTTTTATATGGAGCTTTAAAGGTGGATAATATATTTATTTTCGATCTTGACACAGTAGTATAGTTCAACATTACACCTCTTCGTTATATTTTATATCCAATTAAATTCAATACTTGAGCAATTCTTTGGATTCTGAACCATAGTATAGTTCAATCGTTTTTATTTTAATTTCAGAAATTGTTTTATTGGTAAAAGTTTATAATAGTATTTATTTGGAAAGAACAGAATGTTTCTAGAACTATAACAATCTTATAGTATTGATTTATTGGATATCCGTTATTGCTTCTACTGGTCTGCTTGATACTGTTTGAATAGAATAATTATCTACAGAAAAGAAATACTTGAAAATATAAAAAGAAAGCAGACTGTTTGTTGAAATACAACAGTCTTTAAGAAGCATAGAAAAATTATTAGCTGTGTGCTGGGTACTACATTTAATGTAGTATGCTTTTACATTTTGTGTACACTTTTATACTTACATTGTAAATATTAGAAAAGAGTGAGCAAAAAATAGATGTTGATATTGATAATCCATAGCGTTCCTTATGATATCTTTCACTATAAAAACAACGAAAAACATTAATTTTTGTGAATCGAATAAAATAATAAATAATTTACATACCAGTAGCAAGAATATATATTAACAGAGATAGATTGTCTTTGTAAACACTTGATAGAACTCTTGTGAAAAATAATAATATTTTATGTTAACACATTATAATATTAATATAGCTAAAATAAAAAATAAAGTAGTGATCCTTACCATGTAATGTCATTTCCAGCTGTATAATGTAAGGGAAATCAAAGACGGGATCAACAGTGTTCATCTATAATAAGACTTCATTTTAGTAAGATACATGTCAAAATAATATATATATATACTACCTTGATGTTTTTAACCAAATTCATTTGTAGCAGTTATTCTTGATGATCAAGTCTGTAATAAAAAAAACAAGTCAGAAGGATTTTTATAGATGTCAATTTCGCAAAATATAATATTGACCTTTGTTAATCTGGACAGCGATTGTGAAATGAATGCATTTAAATGAGAGCAAACGAGTATCTATTATGATAATAAAAGAATGTATTAATTTTTATTGTTTATAAAAAAGTATTTAATAAAGAAGTATGTTACCAAAAAAAAAGCCACTAATATAATAATGACAAACGTTGGAAAAGAGGAAAGGAGCAGAAAAGAAGAAAGAAAAAGACATAAATTTTTTTTCCGCGTTTGAAACAAAATACTGAAAAGCTTATCCAATAAACAATAGCAAAAAAAACTGAAAAGAGGTGATCAATTGAGGCCAAAAAATGTATCAAGGCCGATTTGCATCTCAGTGTTTCAAGAAGTTGTCTTTGAAGTGTTCCTGAAGCATCACTACCGCCTATAAATACTTAATATTTCTACTTGCAATTCAATGTCACTCACTCTTGATTATATCATCTCAATAAATCTACGTTGCGAATTTATTGTAATTTACATAACAAAATAGATGGATTGTCTCTTACAAAAGAGAATAAAAAAGAAAAAGAACTAATATTAACAATTGAAAATATTATAATGTATTACAGATAATGCCTACCCCCAACCGCAGACTCACTCCTTCTCTTGCTAGCACTGATGTCCAGTTGCTACAAGCTTTGAATGCGATGAAAGAAGAGATGAAGGCCATGAAGGATAAAATCACATTGATGGATACAAGAATCGGTGTAGTGATCACCGGTAACTCAACCGCCATTAATAGCATTGATGCCTTGTCTGCCCTCCCAGCATCTGCGCATGTGCCCACTAGTGTTGCATCCACTTCTGCTGCCCTTCCCATCACCGAATCAAGTGATACTAACGCTGTATTTGTAAGTATAAAGATACAAAAGACACTTGCCAATCTTGTTGCTAATTAAAATATAATAGGGATACATTCATGGTTATATGTGGAACCCAAAGCTAAAATCAAGAGACCAGGCAGAAATCCAAGCGAACGCCATAAAACCAAAGTGGGCAGTTGATGTTCGTTTTGATCGCTCTCCAAATAGAGAGTTAGTCAAACAACTCTTGTATTACTTGGAAAAGAAGTTTGCTGGCACTGATATGAGGACACGTGACCTTCGTAAGTGTATATATACAAACTTCTGTAGTAAACATCGCCAGCAAAGGGAACTTCCAGAAACAAGACGAGCCTTGAATACTAATTCAAGAAGATCTGGCCGTGAAACTGATGTAAACTATATTTTCAATTTATGCTAAATAATAACAATTAGAATATTAATTGTATTGTCTTTTTCCTTTAGAACTACACTCGCCGTCGCCTTGCTTATGATGCTTACAAGGCTGACATTGATCTCAAGATGGGTTGAAACTGCTCTGGACTGATCCAAAAGTCGGTCATGTCTGAAGGCGAATCAGACGATGATATGTCCCCCTCTCAGCCAAGAAATGAGATTCGTGTTGCTCGCCCAAGTTGGAGAAGTGACGAGGTAAAACCTAACAGTTTTCTTTTTTGAATGATGCCAGGCTGAATGTTAATATATGTTTATTACTTAGCTTAACAAATTCATTACGGAGGTTGACTCGTTTGTTGTTAAGCAATTGGGTGCAAATTCCCGCCAACTGCTTAAGAGAGTTTATGGTAGAACAGTGGAATCAACAGTCCCAATTGATTTAGATCCTGCTCTACCTCAATGGGCTCTTAAATATGAGTCATAAATAAAACTCATTTTTTGTCATTTTTTTCTTTTACTCTCAAAATTTCTTAACACATATGTATTGTTCGCAACATATATAATAAGACTACATTAGCTTATGTATTGAAATTTTTTATTAAAAAAGAAATGTATTAAATATTAATTGTATTGTTTGTGTGGTAAAGCGTTGACAAGTATTTTCTTATTATTTGTGCTGGTTTTATAATCACATGTTGCAACAACTGATGATATTCGATGTACTGGCAAGATGCATTCAAAATCACACGCAATAAAATCTGCACTGCAGATGTCAACACTTTCCAACTCTCTTGAACGGTCATGCTCAATCTGGAACCACTTAACAAACGCAAACACGTGTTTATCTTGATAAACGACACGTGTTTGGAGCTCTGTGTTGTCTACTGGTGGAGTGAAAGAGTGCAAGAACAGATACTGAATTTGGCCAGTGTATGCCAACCAATTATTGCCTTGACTTCCAAGGAACAGAGATTGAACAAATGAGCCGCGACCAGAAGCATATTTGCAGCCTTTGTAAACCTGACCAAGCAAATTGATTGATTTCAACTTTATGATTTGGTTGTCGACAAAGGAGAATGGAGAGGAGGGATGCTGGTAACCTTCAAGATTTGGCATGCAGTATGCGACTTTATAGTAATCAAGCAAATGAGGATAGTCGACATCACTCATTGCTGATGGGGGTTCGATATGGAGAGGAAATGCGGATGGAGGAAGAGGTTCATTGCCAAGGACTGGAAGAGAAGGGTTTGAGTATGCTTGGATGAAGGCTGATAGTCTGAACGGGCGCTGGGGAAAAGTTATTGTATTTTTTGAAGTGGAGGGTTGAGCTGTGGCAGTAAGCTTGGCGAGAAGAGGAAGAAACGGTACTTGGCTTGGGCATGTGAGAGCAGCATGAACGAAATCACCTTTGAATGTATCTTGGACGAAACTATTCATGTATGTAACCTCAAAGGAATCTTTTCTGTTTGTATTCACGTTCTTTAGCAGACCATTATATCGCTCAAACCTGAAGAGCCAATATCCATATACTGGTCCAAAATCACGGATGGTCTCGCGAAGATGGAGATGTAAATGCATGTTACAGGTTAGAATAGTTGGAGTGTAAATACGCTGGCACTCAGTACAGAATTCTTGAAGAAATTTATGGCCGTCGTCAATGTCAGAGAATGTGATGCTTGGCTTTACTAATTGGCGGCAGGCATCAACAAAACTGATCCAATTTATGAACATTTCAATTGGCAGGACGGCCTTCAACAAGATAGGCGAATACACTGGCACCCAGGACTTTCATTCATCAGCTTTCATATATGGAAAGCCCTTTCCGATCTTCGATTTCAACACCACATAATCCATTGGCACCACCATTGTCTCTGCCATTGTTTGCATCATAGCTAGCTTTCTATCGTCTATCAGTCCTTCTTTTATCCACCGCTCCATCATTCTCTTTGGTGTCCCCAGGAATAAATTATGCATGGGATCGATGATCGTTCCACGTACTAGATCAAAGTATCCAAGGTGATGCAGCTGCGACCATCGAACACCATTTTCGATTTCCAACTGATGCCTTTCTGAGGGCATACTGGCACTCTTCCACTCCTCAGCATGCAACCTGTTTTCCAGACCGCTTTGGATTTTCCACGTCGAATAGTCGAACCCACTGAAGTTGACCTGATTGGTGCTTGGTAACCTGGTAAACTGCCTCACACATCTGGGGCATGCACAAGTACTGTTGTGGGTGGTGAATCCACTGGTCTTCCTGGCGGTGGGGATGTCACAGGCAACCATATGTAACGCGGCACGTACATTAACACTGGCTGGGCACTCAAAGGTTGGGATGGTTATCCCCGTAAACAACTGCAGCAATTCATCGACTATTGGCTTTAAATAGTGGTTGATCTCTTTGGTCTTTGGCTCCTTAGGACCAGGCATCAAACCAACAAGGATGACATTTTCAGGCTTAAATCTTTCCTCACGAGGCAAGTTATTTATCGCAAGGTAGATAGCTCCAGTTGAATATGTAACGCCATCAAATGGCTGGAACCAGTCGATGTTCATTGTTAGCATCAATGAACGAGGTTCATCCACAAACAATACGCCACTTTGGTCCTTTAGCTCCTTCCACATAGCACCATCATAGACGTCGCATAGTGTATCTACGACCTTAAGCTCTTTGTTCCATTGTCTGATTTTTTGCTTGAACCCAGAACGAAGAAAGAAAACTTGTAATGATCTCTGAATAGAGTTGTAGACGTATGATCGCTTGGCTACCATGGCACCAGAAGATGAAACCTTCATCAATTCACAATTGCATGCTGATTGAGAACCATGCTTTTTGAAGTCGCAATGAGTAGGGAGAGGCACATCTTGTTCGTAAACCTTGTGGCAGTCTTCACATACAACAGACTTCTTGATACCATTGGCGTAATTGGAAAAACCAGTCATTCTTTGCAGGCCAATAAGACTTGTTGGTAATTGGAAATCTTCGCCGTAGATCTTGAGTAACTGATTGATAAATTCAATCAATACGGCGGCACCTTTGTTAACAACATAACGTGAGATAAAAAGAATGGCAAAGGTAGCAATGAACTGATGGACAGGGTTTTCAGGCATGTTAGGAGCATCAAATGGGTCTATTTAAAATTAACAAAAATAAATTAGAACAAATTTTCTTTAGGTCTGTTTTTAAGAAAACAAAATCATTTATGACTGACCTTCATTAACAAACTCTTCAACGTCTGTCTCGACACCTTCTTCTTCACCACTGCCAGAGTCAGAGTTTATGTCTCTTTCAATGTCAGAGTCATTGCCATTGACCTCGCTGATCTCATCGTCTACCGAGACATTGTCAGCCATTGTGGCGGCATTCGAATCAGGTGAGTTGGCCTGATCGTCTATTTTTTTGATGGATTCAGATTGACAGGTCGGGATATATACAAATATAGATTAGTTTAGCTTATTGTCTCTACTGGTTTTCAAATATTTTTTTTTCTTTTCTTTTCTTACATTGGGTATCAACGTCCATCATTTGTTCTTCTTGCACAGCTGTGTTTCATTAAAATTAAAAAAATAAAGAAGTTATTACTCAGTAATCGAAAAATAAACCCTGAATATAACATACTATTTGCCAATCTTTCAGCCATATCCAGTCTCTCGATTCTCTCAAGCTCATCTTTTCTAATATGGCGCTCAGCGGTTCTGCTTGTCACCAATGAGTATCCCTGTGAATTTCTGCTACATGGAGCACAACGGCAGACAACATTACGGCGGTGGGGGATAGAAGGCATTTTATGTGTTTTGTTTGATGTGATTTATTGAAAATAAAAAGAGGAACAAGCGTAAAATATACTTTATTTGCACCGACTTTATAGTAAAAAAAAAGCATTATATTTTATGGTTGTTTAATTAAATTCTTCTAACAAGTTCTTTTCTATATTATTAAACATAGAAAGAGACATGACAATTATGATATTATCAATTCATAGTCTTTATTCAAATGTTTTCAAGAATGCCTGTTGTGTGTAAAAGACATATATTTTTCTACTATGAGTTTATAAATAGATTATTGCGAGAGTAAATCCAGAAAATAGTAGGAATAAAAAAAAAGGGGTGGTAGAATGAGAATTATGATAGGTCTCTGTATGTGAATTTAGCCTTCCGTACCAGACTGATATTCTAAAATTCTGTTAGCCAATGAAACCAACTAAAACTACATCTTTGACCTGAACTTCAAAAAACACACTGAGTTGAAAAAAATCACTATTTCTACACATATGTTTACCAACCTGGCCACATTGTTAATCAGGGCGGTTTTTCCAGTGATAAGAATCTGTTTTTCTCTCTATCTGCTATAATTTATGACTTATTAAACTTATATATATCTTATTTAAAGACTTTCTAGTGTTGCACAATAAATTCTTGGTTTTACTATTTGTTGTGGCTTGGTTTTTTATTTATATATTTTTAATTATCAAAACAGAAAAAATAATGACTTTATATATTTTTTCTTTTCTAATCCACTTTAATAATATATACAGATTATAAGTATTTTATATAATAAATAAAACGTTACTTTACCATTATTGTCATATTTTAACATTTACTGAATACTTGACTGAATGACATTATATATCTTGTTATGAATTTCTTGCAATCATAGACTAACAGTTAAAGACAGCTAAAAGTCTTAATCTAGAAAAACTATAGATGAAAAATAATGACTTGTCAATTTTGTTTGAATGTCAAGATCAATAAACAGAATCGAAGTACAAAGATATATAGTATGCTGCAATGCTTTAGAAGTATTTTTCTCTTCACGAACCGTGTCTCTTCTGGTTTCTCTTTTAAAAAAAAACAAAAAGATAAGCATGTCTTTAAAAATCATTTAAAATACATACTTTGAGTGTATCACTATACCTGTTTTTTTTATTATTTGTTTTAAAGATTTTTTTTTGGTACAACTAAAGCTACAGTTCATAATTACAAAACAAAAAAGAATATAGAGAAGTAAAATATATGCTTATACTAACTGATGTCTTCAACAATAATGTTAATGATTTTTGACGCTATAACTTTGCTTATAACAAATCTTCTTTCTTAAATAAAGTCCAGTTTTGCTTATCAATTTTGTGAAGGAATCAACTCTGTAAAAATTGTATTTAATATTTATTTATCAATTACACTTCATCAAGAACAGATATTAGCAAGTACGAGTTCTATAAAACTAATACAGCTTGTCTTGAGTTTTATTGAAATTCTTTTAGCATCAAGTATTATTACTAAATAAGTAAAACAAAATACATTTTTATATAAAAAGCTAAAGGCAAAATATTACCAGTTCATAAGTTGGTTTTTACGTACATTACTTATTAATTAATTGGCTTGTCTTATTGATTATATATTTATTCAATTCTAATATTTTATAAATGTAGTCTATTACTTGCAAGAGAAATATCATTGCTAGCTTTATATAACAATTTAAATAATAACAATATTTATTTATTTATCTTTGATTTAACCAACTCTTTCTGTCCACCCTTGCCTTTAGTCTTCATGTTGCAATTTTTGGCCTAGTTTTATGAAAGCAACTAGCACCCTCCCCGATCTTTCTTAATCTATTCTTTCCAAATATTACAAAAGCTGATAGCTGCGAACAAAGTTCTTATCTTATACTTTTAAATATGCTTACTTCAAAAAAAAACAAGCTGGTAATAACAAACACTAGTTATATACAATATTGGTTTATGACAATAATAATAACTATTATGTTTAGCTTGTTATTTTTTGAAAGAAAATAAAGTACATTTTATTAATAAGAGAAAATATGAATTATTAAAAGTATAATTATTTTATTTGACAAACAGTGATCCTGAAATGCAGTAAGACTATCATGTTACTTTTTCGAATTAAAAAAACTACCATCCTTTATGTAAATAGCTAATGTAAAATCTATCATAAATTAAATTGCTAAAAGTACAAATTGGTTTGAATAAAGTAATTACAAAATATAACTCAAAGAACAGAGTTCAGAAGGGAGAGAAATGAAAAAAAAGATGGGGAAAAGATGGGGTACAAATATCAAATGAGTAAAATAAAAAGAAGAAAGGTTATCAATTTCACTCAGAACAATTGAAGTTATAACAAAAAACGTACTGGGAAAAAGTAAATAGAATAAAATGAAAGAAGAGGGTTTTGATTATGTCAATCAGAACATACAATAAACATAAAAAAATAATATACCAGGCAAAAAAAAAGAAAAACGTAAATAAGAGAAAAGAATATACAAAAAGGACGAAGGCTGTGGCTTAACATTGAGAAAATGTGACTTTGGATGTGACTATACCAACATCTTACAGTGAAAATGAGTGGTTTCATAGTGAAAATGAGTGGAAAAAGTGGCTTAGTAAAAAATACTATAAAGCTATATTTTAACTACTCTATTCAAAACTTTTGCTATAGATTATTTGTTGTTGCTTTTGACTATGATAGGAACAACCGAGGTTCAACTTTTGTCTGAAGCATTTTTTTGTATTTTTTTTTACAAAAAAAAAGAAATGTTTTGAATATTTAATGAATTGTTTTATACTATTTATTCTTTATAAATATCTTAATGTTATGCGAAATACAACTATATTTTTTTAAAGTAAAATAAAATAAAATAGCAAAAGAAACATATGTTATTTATGTAAACAGAGTTAAACAGTTAGATACAAATAAAACAAGATCATTTTTAACATTGTAACTTCCTGAATGAGAAATGCTATTTACTTGCTTTTGGAAAGAATAAAATAAAATATAAATCATGCAAAATACTAATGAAACTACATAAAAACTTGATATTTTATTATCTCAAAATAAGTATGTAGTTATGTGTATTATGGAATTAATTACTAATAGACTCTAATGATATAAGCAATATATATATATTACAGAAATAAGTAAAATAAAATCTTGAAACATAAAACATGTATTTAAAATAGAAATTTTTTTTACTTCTTGATTAAATGTAGAAAACAAGAAGTATACTTCAAACAATAAAAATCAAGCTGTCAGCTTCTCTATAATTTTATGATATTTTTACCTGTAAAAGCTATTAAAGCATTTTACGGATTTGAAAAAAATTATTATTATTATTATTAAAAAAAAATAAAAAAAAGAAGAAAAGAAAAAAAAAACGGGTAGGAGTTTGTGTTATTCTAGGGAAAAGAAACTTACCTTAGTTATCAACTTTAAATGCTAACAAATAAACTGAATAGACTTTTTACAATAATAGAGTAACTTACCATATACTGTCTCAGACTCAAATACGTTATTGTGTTATTTGTCTTCATTGGCATCATCATCATCATTGTTGTCATCATCATTGTCGTCATCATCATCACCTTCCACAACAAAAGCGATACTGGCTTTTCCATCATCGGGGGAGTTTATGTCTTCAATGATGAGTGAAGAAGAAGAGACGGAGGAGGAGGAAGCAAAAGGAATGGAGGAGGAGGAGGCAAAAGAAACGGAGGAGGGAGAGGACAAGAATTCCAGAAGGAAACTAGTCTGAGCAAAGACTGCTCGCTCCCAAGACATAGAAAGCCAAAGCTTTCTAGCCAAAAGGAACTGTATCCCGCAAAGAACCTCTTTGTCCAGAGTACCTACAGCATTGTCAAGGGCTTTTAGCCCTTGCTCTCTTAAAGTCCTTTCCTTTGTGACACGGTGTTGGAGCCAGAAGGCATTACTCTTGAAATTTTATATATTAGTTGATTTATTTTTAAAACCTTTAGCATCTTTATACTGATCATTACTTTCAGGAGTACAACTTCTTCTGCTCTTTTCTTTGCCAAAAAGAGATGGACTTCAGGACAGATTTCCGCATCCCAGAAAATATTTTTTTATTGATTATTGAATCAAAGATCAAAGACTCTTTTAAAAAAACAAGTATAAAAGTAAGAATAACAGTTTAATATTTCCATTGTGAAAAGTCTAAAAATCACTGTTACCATTGAATTCAAGATTGAATGCTTGGACGAGGTAGGTAATTTATTTGGCCTGTTTATTCAGGCTGGTTTGGTGTTGTTTTGCTTTTTTTGTGCCTATATATATATTTAAAAGCATTAATTCATGAAATAATTGCAATCACTTTTTTCCCTTCTTACCGATATGGTCAGATTTGTAAAGCAATGTCGAGGTATCATGATACTCTCAAACATTGGCTCTAATCGCATCTTTGAATATTTTTTTTGTAAGCTAGGAACTCGTTGTACTCTAGCTGGGCATTTTCTTCTATATATTTTATGAGATTTGTATTTTTTTCATCAGGTTCTTGGAAGCCCTCAACTTCCTTCTGGATCTTTGCCTTCAACTTCTCCATTTTGTGATTCAGCCTATTGATCTTATCTTTCACATGATTTCCGTTGGCATCATTAGTGAGCCTATAATAAAATTGATTTTTTTAATGACAAAAAACATAAGAAAAAAGCTCTAAATACACTTACTCTCTTAGTTGGCGCAAAATTGTAAAATTTACAAGGAACAAAGCAATATTGCCTTGAATCTTACGGCCGGACTCCATCAAATCAGCAATGTCAACGTAGTTCTCTGACTTCTCTACCTTGTTAACATGCTGCTTCCATTCTCGCTCAATCACAACACAGTCGAATCCCTCCAATGCCTTCCTGGATTCTTCTATGATGCACTTTGCTTTGACATACTTACTCTCCAACATCAAGCCCAACTCAACCTTCTTTGTCTCATTGCAGAACTTGATGGCTCTGTACAAGACCAACTTTTGGTTTGCTTGTCCCATCTTTCTAGTAATTGTCACAAAGCAGTTAAGATATGACCAGAGACGTTTCAAACATTCACCATCTGTCAAGCCAAACCCATCTCTATATTTAGGGTTGAGCTTAACCTGGCAGTGTTGAACATGAGCATACACATGGAAAATCAGAACTGCTAGTTTTGATTTCTCCATCAGTCCAGAAAAGTTAGCCTATGTTAAGTATTGTTACTATATGCTTATATATTTAACATGTACGTTAAAAATAACTCTGTATTTACCTTCAGTGACTTTGCCAGCTTACAGACAACATCATACATCACATTGATGTTGGGAGAGTTATCAGCAGACTGGCCATCACTACCTGAATCACCAAGTAGTTGATTAATTATGGAGAGAGAGTACTTAAACCCTTCACCAGTTTCCATGTCTACCAACTTAATGACTGACTCATGACGTGCACAGCTCGCCGCAAAAAGACCCTTAATAGAGTACTTTATAGACTTTGCCAAACTGCCAGAGCCAGCATGGAAGTTGCTGTCAAACCGACCTATCTATAAGTATAGAAAAGACTTCGTATGTATTTAATATCTTGTCATTTTTTATTACTTATGCCTTCTTCAGCCCTCTCCTTCTCATACGTTTTCACCACGTTGTCACCAATTCACATCTGCTTGAGTTGAGCCTCTACTTGCTCCAACTCTTTGCCAACATCACCCTCTACATCTTTTCTCCTCTCACACTTCAGGCTAAAATTGCCATCCATGGCAACATATTGACAGTCGTCAATGGTCACATTGCTGTCAACCTGCTATAAAAATACAACTTCAATACTTTGTTGCAAGTAAAATATGACATATTATTCACTTACATCTGGACAAGCAGGACACCCATTAAGCTCCTCAAATCCAGAGGCAGCTTTCTCAACTTTGCTCTCAACAATTGCCATGAGCCTTATGTAGATGGGGAGGAGGTTCTGGCAGAATGCCTTTGAAATTTTCCTCTATTTATTTTGTTTTTACAAAATGATTTAAAGCAATTAGTAACACATATTGATATAAAATATCTTCTCTTACCTCAGTACCCATGTTAATCTTGTTGTACAAAGTCGCCAAGCCCTGACCAGAGGTTGCAAGAACATTGCGCATATCTATCATGAAATTCAAAAGTCTAATATGAATTCCATACTGAACATTGTTCAGTGATGCGGGCAGAATACCCATCTCAACCAGTTGTTCTGGGATGGTTTTACACCCACAGAAAACAATCTCAAACATTTTTGAAGCTATACACACATACAAGAAATCAATATCTTAATCCAAGAGCAGTTTCTCAGAGAAATATAGTAGTAATTACTTACAAAGTAAAAAAAACATGTAAATGTTTTTTTTTTACAAATTTCTTGCAAGAACAAGGAGGAGGAGACAAAGGAGTAATGTCCCTTTTATCAGAACAGCCATCCTGGCATTTGCTGACAAAGCAAAGGAAAGAATTGGCCAACTGAAAAAGATTCTCCATCCACTTGTTATAGATGGTTCTTTTCTTGCTGGACTCAACTTCATGGTTTTCAGCTTCGAAATCATACTCAAAGTCCAATTGAGAATTCATATTGCTTTGGGAAGCGTTCTCTGTGAAAGATGCTGGTGTTCTTTGCTTCCTGGTGCAGTAGAGATAACCAATCTTTGGATTATCTTTCAATGGACGGGGAACACATTCTATATAGCCCAATCTTGAAGGTATATAGGTAGAAGGCTCTAAACAGACTAATTGGGATCCTGGTGATCTTCTTTTATTTCTTTTGGCTCTAGTGCTCTTGTTCATTTTAAACATGTTTAATTGTATTGTTAAGCTTTAATAAAAATAGGGTAGAGGTTTGGAATTTTACACGTAACTTGGTATTAATTATTGCGTCACTAAAATGGGTTAGTTTACAGAGATCAAAAGCTTGATGGCTGTAAAAAGTCACGTGATTGCACTATAGGGAACTGGTTTTTCAAATCTGGAAAACTGGAAAACTGGAAAACAGTGTAAATTGGACGAAAGTGTCCCCTTAATTTGGCAGACAAATAAAAATTTCGTCCCTATTTTTGCTGTTCCAGATTTGTGTGGTGAGCAACTGGACACGTCCGCTTGCTAGCCATGTCCCACTGCTATCACATGGTCCAAGGCCCCATCAACAAGTTGGTGTACGTAGAAACCGACCCTGAGCTGTTCTTGTCCCATCTCTGCTCCATTGCTGCTGGACTAGTCCAATTCGATTCACAAGGCATGGCCATGGTTAAGGTTGCCAAACTGGGTACTTCAGAGGTCCAAGTTCAATCTGGTTGCCAGTTAGGCACTTCAGAGGATATGGAAAGTATTAATTCGACCTCTACTATAAAGGACAGTTCTAACACTTCTTCTCTGCCCACTCTTAGCCCTGTTCTGTTTACCATTACCAATCTTCCTATGGACAAGACCCTGCCTGAAGATCAGAAGACTGGCATTATGAACTTGCTCAACAAGTTTTGCACCATGTTTGTGGCAAAGGCTCACACTGTTACTATCCAAGTGTAACACCATATCAACACAGGCCATCACCCACCAATCTCAGGGCCCCCACACAGGGCATCAGCGGTTGAGAACAACAAGATCGGTGCACTGATTGATGAGATGTTGCGCAATGACATCGTAGCCCCTTCACACTCGCCTTGGAGTCCCCCTGTTGTCATCGTCACAAAGAAGGATGGCTCACCCTGGTTCTGCGTGGACTAAAGGCGCCTCAATGGCATTACTACGCGAGATGTGTACTCCCTATCAAGAATCGATGACACTCTACACTCCTTGGGGAACTTGGCAATGTTCTCGACCTTAGACCTCATGGTCTCATACTGGGAGATCGAACTCAACAAGGAGTCACGGCCATGATCAACTTTTGTCTGCCACAAGGGACTGTTTGAGTTTGTTCGCATGCCATTTGGACTCTTCAATGCTCCAGCAACCATGCAATGCCTGATGAATGCCATCCTTGTGGGCCTGAAGTGGCAGCTGTATCTCATGTAATTGGACGATATCATTGTCTTCTCCCCAACCTTTGCCCAGCACCTGCAAGGCTTGGACACCATGCTCACCAGATTGCAGAAGGCTTTGCTAACTGTCAACCTGCGCAAGTGTTGTTTTGCATGCACTGAGGTCAAGTACCTGGGGTATCTGATTACATCATCTGGCCTGAAAACCGACCCTGATAAAATCAAAGCAGTTGCATCCTTCCCAGTCCCTAGTGACGTCGATTCATTGTGCTCCTTCCTTGGCCTCTGTGGGTACTATCGATCTTTCATACCCCAGTTCTCTCAACTCACTGCACCCCTTAACGCCATGCTTGCCAAAGACGCCACCTGGGTTTGGTCCTCACATCATGCACAAGCCGTAGACCTATTGCGATCAGCCCTGCTCATGGCACCTGTCCTCTGATTCACAGATTTCAGCCAACCCTTCGAGCTACATATAAATGGTGCATGTACAGCAGAGATCAGCGTCATACTTTCCCAATGCAAAGACCCATCCAAACGGCCCCATGCTATCTCATTCGCCTCTTGTTCTCTGAGCCCCGGTGAACGAAACTATGGCATAACAGAGATAAAAGCCCTTGTCATCATGTGGGGGATCAAGAAGTTCGCACATTATCTGATGGGACGCAGTTCACTGTAGTAATAGACCATCAAGTGTTACAATTTCTGCTCAAAACCTCAGATCTGCATGGTTGGCTGGCTCGTTGGGCTCTCCTTTTGCAATCCCACTCATTCAATATCATATATCAATCAGGCAAGGACAACTCAGAACCAGATGCACTCTCCTGATACCCTTCTATCAATGTCATCAGCCTTGATGAGTTGGTTGCAGCACAAGCTACCGACATAGAATGTCAAGCCATACTCAGCAAACCAGTCTTAGCTGACACTTTCACCATTTCTCTCAGTTTGTTGCTTCATGGTTTGCAACCTGTATTGCCCCAGTCTCTCCGCGAGGACGTCTTCACTCTTCTGCACCGGATACTCACAGTTGGACATCTGGGCCTTTCAAAAACTTTACAAAGGTTCCAACGTCTATTCTGGTTCCCAGACCTTCGCAGCTGGGTCACGCAGAAGGTATTGACCTGTGGTGTTTGTCAAGAAACCAAGTCACCTTGCCATACATTGGGTTACACTCAGTCAGTGGCCACTGCACCCATACAGGCCCCTTTTGATGACATCGCAGTAGATGCGTTTGGTCTACTACCACTCAGTATTCAAGAGCACTGATATATTCTGGTAGTTCAATACCTCTTTTCTCGATACGTGGTCATGGCTCCCATTACAAACCTTTGCGTGTCCACCATAGTAGCCGTTCTAGCCCCAAGAGTCTTCTCAGAGCATAGAGTCCCCAGAGTCATACAGTCTGACAATCGTCAATCATTCTCCTCAGGGCTCTTCAAGACACTAGCCGCACAGTTGGATATCCAACAGAGGTTTGTGCCAGCATACCATTCACAATCCAATGGACAAGTCAAAAGGTTCATGTCAACTCTCCACAACATGATTGTAGCCTTCCTGGACCAGGCGTCTGCTCATGCCACTTGGGATCACTACCTGGGACTCTTGCAGCTTGCGTACAATTCCTCTGTACACTCAGCTACGGGCTTCACTCCATTCTCCCTGGTCCATGGGCGTGAACCTCGAACTCCAGTGTTGTGGGGAGAAAATAAAGCAAAATATAATATAGACGAAAGAATTCGTGAGAACTTGTGTAGGTTGTTTATTTCCAAAGAAAAGTAAAGAATGATAAAATTCGATTTTCTTTCTACACGGAACTATCTACTGATATTTATATGTTTTTCTAATTTGTAATTCAGTGTGTGCTTAAGTAATCTTTATCACGATGAGTCATCTTCCAGGAGTATTGTTCTTCTGGAAAGATCCGGAAAGACCAATTGATATGATACTTCTCCAGTCAGATCAGTCCAAGAGTTTTGGTAAAGAAGAGCATTTATGCTATTGGTAATATTTTAGTATTCCGACCCAGATACTTGGGTAATGTTTCATAATATTAGATAGTTGTAGTTGTAGTCTCTCAATTAAGTATTTGTATAATAAAAGAAATATATAGATGAAATATAATGATGCCATATATATAATGTATATGTATTTGTATATCCCATGTCATGGTGATAATAATAAATAATCAATTATGTGTATGATGATCTGTGTATTAGATAATATCATAAAGGGAGATCCGTTTGACTGGAATAGCTGAGGATATTATTTTATCCTTCAGTCTTACTCTCAGATTCAGCAGTAATCAATACTCATTCACAACATCCAGTGTCTCCCAATAGTGAGCCCCTAAGTCAGACAACAGACAGTTATATCATAACCATGCAAGCAACCTTGGCCACAGCCATTGAGATTGTCCGTCTTCAAAATATTCAGACATACATGGTCAATGCCATACAGTTCAATAAGCTCCGTAAGGCCCCAGACATCCATGTTGGACAAGAAGTCCTGGTGTTTACCCAACAGCTCTCTCTGTTATGTATGAGGTAAAAATAAGATATAAAATAAAACAAGTGCAGACGAGAGTATGGTGAGACTTTGTTTTATTAGAAGAAGTGAAAGAATCAGAAAGGAGATGCTGTTCTATTGCTATTAGTATTGTGCGTTTATATAGACATTGTATTTAGCTGAGTGATAATATGATGATATCATGTAATGTCTGTTTCTCTACCATTATCTTCTATGATTTAGTTCTTATTTTTTAGTGTTATTGACTAGAGTCTTAGTATTTGTCTTAGTATGTTCTTTATGTAATTTCCTTGTATAAGGGAAGATATATCTTTTAGTATTGTTACTAGTTGTTGGTAACTCAATATACATATTTATTGAGTGTCTGTACTTTTAATTTAAATCTACAATTATGTTGGATACAACACTCTCGACCTGGCCGGTCTGGAAAACTCTCTTGGGCATGGAAGGGTCCTTATGAAATCGAAGCCATCAGTCATGACCAATACTCTCTAAGACCCTCTCCTACAAGCAATCATCGCGCACTCAATCAAGTCCATGCTCAACGAATTAAGGCGTACCACAGACCAGAAGTCCCTGTCTTGGCCATCAAGAACACCAGCCTCTAAACCCCCTGGATGTTGTGACTGAGAGTCACAGATGCACTACTTGCAGTAGTGAAGGGCTACTGCAAGAAGGTACATACAAGTGTATAAAATACTCTCTCTCTTCATCATTCTGTCTGCATCAATATCTGTAGTCCTTTTATATAAAATAGCTTCATATTCTTGTCAATAAACATCATCTTTCATAAGCTCAACTCTTCTTCCTCTTACTTCTTCTACTCCATTTCCTAAAATGGATATTATCACATCTTAAAGACCACTGTTCATTACATTTCCTTGTTCCATATAAGAAAATTTAGCGCAACCAACTTTATTTCAAAAAATGGCAACTGGTCTTTAAAAAACCAGTGGGTGTGATTTTGGACACAGTTGTCACTCCTATAGCCATAGTGATATTGAATTCGTAATTTCAAGACACATTGTTTTGCTCTGAAGGATTAGAGAAAAGACATCAGATCTCAGACAAGTAGCCTCAATAAATTAGTCTAGTAACAAAAAGGTAGTACCTGATCCTGAAAATATTAGGGTGTTTCAGCAGTTTTAGATGTTTGATTGTTCTGATTTCATGAATTAAATATATAAGCCAATAATAATCAACCTATAAAAAATCAACTGAGTGCCCTAAGTATTACATAAAATTTATATTTTTTTCTTAAAAAAAATAAGCCCGCGATTGCTCCATTTTTCAACTATTCAAACAACTATTCAAACAACTAAAAATTTTGATAGTTGTTTGGAGATAAAATTTATCTATTTTTCAGATTAACGAGAGCCAATGATTTTTCAATATTAAACCCCCGAACCAAAAACAATCAAACAACTAAAACTGCTGAAACACTCTATTGTCTCCCTAAAATTGCTGCTTTTTGCAGGACACACCATTTTGCTCTAAATGATTAGAGAAAAACATGGGCCCAGGAAAGTGGTCACAAGAAATCAGACCAGTTAGATAGAAACGTCGTGTCTCACCAGGAAACGTCGTTCTCATAAGATTGCTTCATAAATATATAAGAACTTTGATTGTTCATTAATTAACTTTATGCTATGTTTAATCGTATTTTTACTACAATTATTCTTACGGTTCATACACCTAATATTTTCTACTCTCTTCTTTTTTTTCTGCTCTTCCTGCTCTTTCTTTTCTTCTTTGCCTTTTTTCGTCTTTTTTTTGTTGTATCTTTTGTCACTATTTATTAAATGATTGACCATTTCAAATCTTACCCTTTGCATTCCTTGATATAAATGAAAGCGACTTTGAGCTGTGGAGCTGTTATTAAAGGTCAGTATGTTCTCGAGGTATAACAGAATGTAACTGACAATGCAAGTAAGAAGAAAGACTTACAGTTTTGGGTGATGCAATATTAAAAAAAAACGGGTTTCATATCTTTCGCAATCTTACTTTTGCTTTTTCTTTGAGTGTATCTTATAGACCCTGAATGCGTATAGGATTCTTTTGTGGAGTATTGTTTAATCTGCTGAGGCGTTATACCATCGTCATAAAAGGCTGTAAATATTTGATTTTTATTGGGATATATTGCACAGGGAGAAGCCTCGCCAAAATCTTCGGCTATCATAATCTTCCCCAGCAGCGTAATAGAGACATTCTGATTTGAATAGTAAGAAAGTTCGTCAGTACTTGGTTGCACATCTTTTTTTTTTGAAAAACAACATCTGCTGTGTGGCCATCCATTTGGATTTCATTTAGGAAAACAAATCTTGTTTTGTTGTCCACATCGTTTATGTCTTCCAAGCTAGTACACAAGTTCGTGTGAAGCAAAAAATCCTACGTATATATTGTATATGTTCAAATGTCTTAGTAGTTTAATCTGGGCCTTTTAAAATCAAAAACCTTGTCAAACATATCGAGCTTAGCTTCGTATATAGACGGGAATTTTTTTCCAGTAAAAGGGGAACTAGCGTTTGGGTTAAGTGTTATGAACCTCCATTTCAGCGATGATACAGGGCATAACGAAAATAGACGAGGTGGTTAACGTTTCTCGTGCTGGTGCTGCTATTGCTGTGGTCGACACCATTGTCTGCTGATAACCGTTAGACCTTTGCTGGGTCTTTCTGACAGTTGTAGATTGTTGGCTAGGATATAAAGGAGAAGCTGACATCTGAAGCTTCTGCTGTTTTTGCTGTCTATTTTGATGCTCATAATTTCTCATAATCCTAGCTAGCATAGAGATGTATGCTCCAAGAGATTCAGACAAGCTTCCAAGCGTTACTGACTTATGAATATTTGTCCTTAACAAATCTTCACATATCTCTGCAGTAACTCCTTTTTTAACAGTATAAGCCTCTGAAATATTATCGGGCCAGACTAATGTCCCAGCGCAGACATACTGATAGCAATATTATTGAACAATTTTTGAAATAAGACTCTTTTCTGGCTACACATATAAGATGTATAGATAAATTGCTTTAAACCGAAGTCCATGCTTATGAAAGATTGTAATTACCTTTTCAAAAAGTTCTTTTCTGCTGCTAAATAGATATGCCGATGATCATCCCTCAAAGCATTCAACAATTGAGGTGGTTTAGGTGGTAGCCATTTCAAAACAAGCAGCCAACACGCAATGACTCTATTTGTTTTCAGTTTCTTTCATGTCATATGTTCCTTCATATCTTGAGGAAAAGCTGTTCGAATAATATAAAATATCATTTGGCAGAGTCTTGGTGTTTTTTAGGGGACTCTTTCAAGACCAACGAGTAATATAATACCAGAAGTCCTGTGTAAAAACTCGTTTATCGGCAATTTCGTTGGCATAGATTATCACGTAATAGCTTATAATGAGCTGTGAACGTATCATTATATTTCGAACATGTTCAGATAATTTTAACGCTTTAGCCATAAGTAATGCCTTGCATTTTACCTAAGAATTGTGTCCAATTTGATTTTTCCTGTAAAAGTTACAGGGCTATCTCCCAAAAGATTCTTTACTTGCTCTTGTTTGGTCAATTTATGGTTCGGACAGATAGTCGATCTTGAGCTCATGTCTCTTTTGGTAATAATTAGAGCATACTGATGTACTCTCGCTTTGATCAGTTGTGTACCTTCTAGCGTTGTCTTTTTGTCTTTTTTCTTGAATGATTTACGTAGTTAGTAATGACCTTGGACAAAATCTATTATTATTATCTTGTAATATTTAATCATATATATCATTTTATATGGTCTCGTGTTTTAGTTCCAACACGTCTATATCTCTTTTAGTGTCAAAACTAATTATTTTCTGCCTGGATTTTATTTTCGCTTCGTCTAAAAAAGGTAAACAGATTGTCTGAAAATTCATTTTGATTCGTCCAGAAAAAAACTAACATCGTCTGAATTCAAAGTAGAAACAGTGTAATTTGGCCAATGATCGTGCTGTGACGCGGTGGTCCGACCGATATCCTCATCCGATCTTCGAAATTTGAAGTCTTTGTTACGCGAGTCCCGAGGATAAAATCATCTTTCTTTTGGATTCAACATTTTGCGACCATGTAAGGCAATCGTAAGATTCAGCTAGAAATATTACTGACAAGCAATGTTTAGGCCGCAAACTCTTGTTCAATCCAAAGCGATTGAGTCGGCATCACTACATGTCCCGCTTCCAAGGCGATGGCATTTGTATGTCTGGCCATTTGCTAGCATGCTTTATCCTGTTTTTCTTTATGTTTACTACTTCAAATATGACATCTACATTGTTTCCGAGGAATGGACTTTTGTAATTCTTGGAAGTATCATTACCCTCCACGCCATGACATTCCTTGTTTGTCAATGGAGTGTTTCCATCAAGGCTCTATTCACATGCGTCCAGGTACTTCAGTCATCATCTATTAAAGGATCAACTCAACTTAACCCGATCATTATGTATCTTAGGAAAACGATGTAAACAAGGCTACTGTTATTAAACTTGTTCCCTTCAGATACCAAGGAATTGGTACTTTGTGTGAGCTACACCATGGAAAGGTTTGTAGATCAAATTAATATATTATAGTTTATTAAACAGAAAAACTATTTTCTGCTTAACATGCATAGCCAAACTCTTTGGGTGGCGGCGAGATTTCTTTTCAATTCCAACAAAAGAAATTCATATGGGATCAAGACAAAAAGACCTTTAGAGAACTTGTTTATCTTTCGGACCTTCACCCCCGTATTGCAACCTATCAAAATCTCAAAGGTCTAGATACTGAAAAAGCCATTGTTCAGGCTACTGACACATATGGTCTCAATAAGTATGTTCGGACGACAATAATCTTGTTCGTTTGTCTGTTTTTGAGATATGACTAATGTGGATATTATATTCTTAGATTCGAAATCCCTATGCCAACCTTCTCTGAACTTTTTAAAGAGCACGCAGTCGCACCTTTCTTTGTTTTCCAGATATTTTGTGTTGGACTCTGGTGCCTAGATGAGTACTGGTACTATTCTCTCTTTACGCTGTTTATGTTGGTTGTGTTTGAGTGCACAGTTGTGTTCCAGCGTATAAAGACCATTGGTGAATTTCGCGGAATGAACCAAAAGCCATTTCCCGTTTATGTGAAGCGCGAAAAGAAGTGGATCCAGATTCAAAGTGATGACTTACTCCCGGGAGATCTTGTATCAATTGGTAAATAAGCCTTTAGTCAGTACTATACGAGCTGTACTAAACTAGTATTGTATAGTGCGAACAAAAGACGACCAGGGTGTTCCATGTGATTTAGTTATTGCTGATGGTTCATGTATCGTTAATGAGGCAATGCTATCTGGAGAATCTACTCCTCTTCTCAAGGTAAGGGATTTGTTAAATGTTTGATAACGTGGATATTTTATTTAAAAAGAATCATCAATTGAAATGATAGGAATCTGTTGCTTTAAGAGATCCCAATGATGAGTTTGACTTGAAAGACTTGGACAAGCTTCATGTGCTTTATGGAGGTACCAAGGTTCTTCAGGTTACTGCACCAGAAAACTCTGCACCCGATCACGGCTGCCTTTGTATTGTTGCCCGTACAGGCTTTGGCACTTCTCAGGGTGATCTTGTCCGTACTATGATATTTTCTACCGAACGTGTGTCTGCCAACAACTTTGAAGCTCTTCTCTTCATCCTTTTTTTGCTTATTTTTGCCATTGCTGCATCCGCCTATGTTTGGACAAAGGGTGTCGAAAACAACAGAAAGAAGTCAAAATTGCTTTTAGATTGCATTCTCATCATTACCTCTGTTGTTCCTCCCGAGCTTCCTATGGAATTGAGTTTGGCTGTCAACAGTAGTCTGGTTGCTTTGTCCAAGTTTGGTTAGTTTCAGAGAAATATGGTCCACCAAGTATCTTTTTTTGTTGCTTTTATTTAATTCTTTATACAACTAGCTATTTTCTGTACTGAGCCTTTCCGTATTCCTTTTGCCGGAAGGGTTGATGTATGCTGCTTTGATAAGACTGGTACCTTGACTGGTGAGGATCTTGTTCTTGAAGGCGTATCATATGCAAGGTAAAGTAACATTACTGAGTGTAAGATCATACAGAAATCTAACCGCACAGTTATAGCCCCAACAAATCTCACACGGACTTGTCGGATGGTATTTCTGTACCTGACACTACCAAATGGACTATGGCTTCCGCTCATGCTCTCGTGTTGCTTGAGGACGGTGTTGTTGGCGATCCAATGGAGAAGGAAACTGTAAAAGCTGTTGACTGGCATCTTGGTAAACATGATGTCTTGACTCCTAAGGAAGTCAGATCTGATAGTCGCGAACGCATCCAAATCCGTCGTCGCTTCCAATTTTCATCTGCACTTAAACGTCAATCCTCTGTATCTACTCTGATTCATCCAAATTTCTCCTCCCCTAAGACCTTTGTTGCCGTCAAGGGTGCCCCGGAAACTCTTAAAGAAATGTACAAGGATGCTCCTAAAGATTATGAAGACACATATCGCCATTTTACTCGTAAGGGTAGCCGTGTTCTTGCTCTTGGATACAAGTTCCTCAACGATAATGTTACTACTGAAAAGGTAAGCATAATATATATATATATATATGTATTCATTTTTAATTTAATGTCTTGATGGTTTAGATCAAGGATCTTACTCGTGAATCTGTTGAAAGTGAGCTTTCCTTTGCTGGGTTCATTGTATTTACTTGTCCTCTCAAGGATGATGCAATTGAGGCTCTCCAGGAACTGAATGAGTCCTCTCACCGCTGCATAATGATCACTGGAGATAATCCATTGACAGCCTGTGCTGTAGCTCGTCAGGTTGGAATTGTTGAGCGCGAGGTTTTGATTGTAGAAAAGGATGAAAAAACGAAAGATAACAACCTGGTCACATTCCACTCCATTGATGACTCTTTCAAAATCGAAATTGATGCCGAAACTCCATTGGACCAGAAGTTGCTTGATGATTATGATGTTTGCTTGACCGGAGCTGCAATGAACCTCTTTATGGATAAACCTAATATGAAGTTACTTTTGGAGCACACTTGGGTATACGCTCGTGTATCTCCTTCCCAAAAGGTAATAACGAGAACGCGAAATTAAATATAGAAAAGTGACCAGACGTTAACCTACTTATATAATTTAGGAATATTTACTGACAGGATTGAAGGACCTCGGATATACCACCTTGATGGCCGGTGATGGAACCAATGATGTTGGTGCCTTGAAGCAGGCTCATATCGGGGTTGCTCTGTTGGATGGTACTCCTGAAGATCTGAAAAAGATTGCCGAACGCCAGCGCATTGAAAGAATGAAGAACATGTATGAGCAACAAAAGCAGCTGTCTGCCCGGTTCAATGCTCCCCCTCCCCCTCCCCCTCCTGCGATTGCCCATCTTTACCCAAATGCACCCAGAAGCCAAGTTGTCACGGAAAATATGACACCTGCTCAAAGACGCCAATTAGAACAAAAGCAAAAGGTAAAAATATACATGAAGTCTCATCAGAGTTTGGTAATTCTAACTTCTGGTTTCTGTAGCTTGAGGGTATGACCAACAAGCTAATGGAAGATATGGACATGGGAGAACCACCGAGTATTAAGTTCGGTGATGCTTCTGTTGCTGCACCCTTTACCTCCAAACTTCGTAATGTTATGGCCAGTAAGTAATATTAAGTATATGTGGTGTAAAAATAACTAATAAATTTTATTAGTTAACAATATTATTCGTCAGGGTCGTTGTACTCTGGTTGCTACGATTCAGATGTACAAGATATTGGCCCTAAACTGCTTGATTTCTGCATACAGCTTGTCTGTATTATACCTTGATGGTATCAAGTTTGGCGATCTTCAGGTTACAATATCTGGCATGTTGATGGCTGTGTGCTTCTTGTGTATCTCGCGTGGAAAGGTAAATGAAAGGGATTTATGTTGCAAATAAAAAAGAAAAACGGAACAATATATTTATTTTTTTACCTGTAAAACTATTTAGCCTCTTCAAAAGTTGTCCAAAGAGCGTCCCCAACCCAACATCTTCAACCCATACATTATTTTGTCCGTTCTCTGTCAGTTTGCTGTTCATATTGCAGCCTTGGTTTATATTAATGCACTTGCAAAAACTTACGAACCGTAAGTACACTGGTTTGGGTTTATCCAGAAAGAAAGAAAAAAGATACTTACTCCTTATTGTAGACCAAAGGAAGTCGATCTTGAAGGCGAATTCGAACCTAGTCTGCTTAACAGTGGTGTTTACCTTATCCAACTGTCCATGCAGGTCTCCACGTTTGCAATCAACTATCAAGTAAGTTATAATATCTACATACACAAGCAAATAGAGGCTTTAATCTAATTCGATTTTGTAGGGACATCCTTTCCGTGAGCGCATTCAAGACAACAAGACTCTTTATTATGGTCTTCTTTCTGTAGGCGGCATTGCTATTGCTGGAGCCACCGAATTCTTCCCTGAGGTCAACGAACAGCTTAAGTTGGTCAAGTTTCCCAGTGCTGTAAGTAATCATTGAATAAAAAGTACATAAATGTGGAACCAACTTACTTACGTTTTAAAATATATAGTTCCGTGATAAGTTGACTATGTGCATGATTCTTGATTTTGGCCTTTCTTACTTAATCGAAATTGTCACCAAGCATTTATTTGCTGACAACCGCGCAAAGGCTATTGCCACACGAGGCAGAAAGGATACTAAAGTATAAATATTAGAAAAAGAAGAATCCTAATGTATAGTTCAATAAAACAAAAAATTGTTTTCAATCATTTATTAAACGAATGAGAATTCTGGAATATAAACTTTCATCTACAAACAACTTTTGCTGTACTTTATATAACCATTGTATCGATTATACCCTCGATAAGCTTTACAAGTCAACTAAAGGGGCTGTTAAGTAGTGATATAAAAGTGATTTAGAATTCTAGTTAATATACTTTTTCTTTTGAATTTATTAATACTGCGTGTTATTGCATGTTACTCCTAGTCATCCAATTAATCAGACAAATCAACAAGTATAGATATATTAATTAATCTTAAATATATATATATAAGTATGAGTTTGATATATACACTCTTTCTGCCCTAAATTCCCAATAAAATATATAATTATGACATCTTGAGTATTAGCAAAATAGCACTAGTAGTAAGACAGTTTATACGTGTATTTGTTTGCAACTGTTTCAAATGCTGCATGAATTTCAGACGCCTGTAGTACAGTGAAGTGGCTTAGCTGTTCGATTTCTTGACTGGATAAGAAAAAAGGGGTTGTTCCATTTTTGACATTTAAAGGTGTGAACATTATAATGCTGGGTGCCAGAAAGATTATTCCCAAGATCCCTGATCTTAAGACATGGATAAAGGAATTTAAACCAAAGAGTCTTGGAAAAGCTATTAGACCCGCATTATGTGATTACTCCATTGCAGGCATGTTTTGTTTCTCTATTTAACTTTATTTTGTATTTTAATTTGTGGAAGTATAAAGTAGTTTAAATATATTACATGGTATCCTTGTACTAAAATTACTACTTTTTTTATATTTTATCGATTCAATAGAAGAAGGCTACAGATCCCTAAGTATATTAACCCCCGAGAAAAAGGTTGCTGTAGATATCTACCCAGGTAAGATATTATTATATATTTGTATATTGTTCCTAAAGAAATATGTGTCGACTAGGAATTGGTGTCTGGTCTGCTGTCCTCGCCAATAATGGTTTTAAAAAAGTGTATTCCCTTGAGCCATTACCAACTTACTTTAAGTATATGGAGGTACATATATCTAGCTCTGACATTTAATATAACCCTGGATAACTCATATGCATATTTTGTATACTATCATTAAGGAACTTGCATCTCAAAGCGATAATTCAATTATTCCAATGAAAATTGATGGCTATGACTGGGAAGCCTATAATACATTAAAGACATCTGAATATCTTGGTGGAATGGAAAATTCGGACTGGTCTAAAAGTGAGATACCATCACATGGAATGAAAATACAGTAAATGGCTAATGAATGTATCTAGTTAACCCAAACATACTTTTTACCGGAATGCTTCCAATGACATCCAAGGGAGAACAATTGATGGCCCAACTTGCTACTTGTATTAATAACAAGATGTCACTGTACACAATGGGACGTATAGAAATGGCTATGTGGATACCCGATACTCTTTACACCGTAAGTATACAAATATGATTTTACGTAGTAAACTTATTTTATTTATATTTGGTTTTGCGCACCAGAAAATCACTTCTGCTCCCGGATCTTCAACACGTTGCAAAATGAGTGTTGTCATAGAAGCATGTGCAGAAATCAAGACTATTTATTCCACTCCAGACACTGCAATTTATCCCAATGTATATTGTCTAAATCATATCACAATTAATTTTACTAACATTCAGCTATTAGAATAAATACCACCTTGTCCATTTTGTACCGTTTGAGAAGTCCAAACTGAATTGTAAGTTAGATACTTTCATTCAACCGGTTATCACTAATATTGTCAATACATAGCTGATTGGGACGTATTTGAGTATGTCTTGAAGCATTTATTTGTTATGCAACGTCAACCATTACAAAAAATGGTCAAGTAAGTTCCTTTGATCACGATGAGGCATATAATTTACCCCCCACATTCTTTTAATGCTTATGTAGGACTCTTGGTCCAGGTGCTGAGATCATCCTTAAACGACTTTCATTTGATCCCTCAATACTAGTTGGCCAAATGACTGCCGAACAGCTTGATCAGGTTGCTGTTAAATTTGATCAATGGCCATTACGCCCGAAAGTTTTGTTTGAAGATGAATCAATGTTCACCTAGAAAGTCTTACTAATTACATATTTTTCTCAACCATATAAGAATTTCATAGAATAAAATTATATAGAATCATTCATCTCATTTTAGGACTTTGTGTATTTAATAGATGGTAGATATTGTCATTAAATGTTCTGAACTCGCCAGAAAAATGGAGACATTTATAAGCTGCTATATTTGACAATCGATATCTGAAACAGGCCCATACACTGTAGAAAAAAATCTACGAGTATTTTTTGATACTCGTAACTTTCTGCCCAAAACTCGTAACTTGAAAAGGTCCGACACGCACTTACTAAGTTTAGTATGTGCTAAGCCTATTTTAGTATTCTGAGGCTAACATTAAAGTATGATTGTTTTGCTTTTAAGCCAGAAGGCCGTTTTAGATGAATATAGTATGGGAAACTGCTTATCAGACTGCAAAACTGGGAAAGGGACAAACATGGTCTACAGATTACTTATATTTTTAATCTGAACTTAAAGAAGCCTTTGCCACCAAAAAGTAATGACTGTGATTACTTTTTAATGCATTGTTGTTTTTTTATTTTGTAAAAGTCTCTTTTAATTCTACTTTTTCACAAGGTTTAAATTATTAAAGGTCTCTAACAAGAACACACTTAACAACTATGAAGAATAGTATTAATAAAATACGAATCAGCAAAGTTGACAAAAGAAAGTAACTTGAGAAGAATTGACAGAAAAATATCTGCATCAAGTACAATTTGGTTGTCAAGATTGCTCGCATGCTCATTAGAGATCTCGGTAGATTTCGAGAATCGCAGGGAATCTGTCTTCTGTTTTTTCAAAAGTAGGAATCAGGCATAACAATGTTAACACAAAGCAGGTTTATACTCTTTGATTAAAAGAATCAATTAAGAAATATACATGCCTTCATCAATATCATAGTACTTAGAAAATAGCTTTTTTTTTTAGATAAAACAATGTAAGAAGTATCACATAAAAATAGATATATGTATATTATTTAATGAATGTATAGCTTAAACTGTTACTAAATATCATAAAAATTAGTACTTCTTCTTCGCATACTTCTTTATGTTTAACTTGAATTTTTTTGGTTTTTATTGATCAAAATAATACAATATAAAATATCATGCATTTGTTGAACCAATCATAAAGAGAATATAAATACCTAAAAAGGTATAGATCTGCCATATTTAGAATATTTTATTGGCTTAGATGCAAAATAATAGAAAATCCCATAAATCGTATTTGACAAAAAGTAAAACTAATAGGCTAAAACAGGCATGCTATTGGCTATAAAAGTTACGAGTTCGTAACTCGTTACGAGGTCGGTATTTTAAAGACTGACTTTTAAATAGCAAAAATTACGAGTACGTAACTCGGTACGAGGTCGGAGGTGTAAATCCTGCCATTTCCTACAGTGATAGTTGCGTTTTTCAGAACCAGGATTTTCAAAATCTGGAAAATATGTCCAACTTTCAAATTTGCGAGTTATGCTATTTTTTCTTATTAAATAAGGCAAAGTTTATAGGGAATACATGTATGTATGCCTTCTCTATATTGTGCATAATTTATAGCTACTGTAAATAGATTTTCATGAAGATACAGCCTATTCATTCAATGTATCATGGAGGAAATATGAACAGAATATGCCAGGAAAACTATGTTAGACATGATTTGTCCTTATTTCTTTTTTTTAGAGCAATAGTTTAGAACTTTTAATGACACTATATAATATAATATTAAAAAATAAATAAAGAAAAATGAGGGTGATGGAAATAAAAATAGTATATCGAGAATAATTAATGGACTTTACAAACTTCTGATTATTACAATGGTTATCTGTATTAAAAACTGCTTATCGTCGTCTAGATTTTGTGTCCTTTGTACCCATAGCAAGTGCATGTCCGGTTTCTTTGATATGTCCAAATAGTTGATTTCTCGTTTCAAAATTTTCACCACACACATTGCAATTGTGCTTATACCATATACATATGAGTTTATATTATTTTTAACGGTACATAAGCACTTACTGTTATAGACGCTTCTTCTTTTAGCTTTTTCTTCTCTTTTCGTCTTTCCCTTTTTGCCTTTGCCGATTCTTTTACTGGAGTTTCTTCTGCATCACTTTCTTCGACTTTGAGATTCACATCAGCCTGATCTTCGGATTTCCCCTCAGGTGATGATGGTGTATTTACACCTATTGTCTCTGCTTTTAATGCTGCTGCTGCTGCTGCCTTTTCTTTTTTAGTCTTTGGTTTGGGCAAGATGTCTTTCTCTAATTACAGTAGTTTAGTTCACATAATAGCTTTAGCTAAAATATACCCTTCGTTGTACCTACCCTCTTGTCCCTTTCCTTTCCTTCGTCGCCGATACTGGTCTAATTCAAGTGCAGCAGCCAATGCACTAACCTCTTCTACTTCTTCATGTAATTTCTCTTCATCTGCAAATCCCCACCGAGGTCCACCCTTCTTCTTTTTCTTTTTGTTCTTTTTTATCTGGCTATTTAATTGCTCGTCTTCAGATCCCAAATTGTCGCTGTTTTGTGCTGTATTGTTTGTACTGACTTCTTCTTTCTTTCCAAACTCAAAATCTTCCTCATCTGCCATCATCTCCTCTTTTAAGGCTTGTGCTAACTTGACATGCTTACGACTACTCTCATGACTAGTGTATTGCTGTTCGCTTTTATAAAACTTATCGCACACCACGCAATAAAATTCACTTTCTTCAACTTCTTCGTCCTCCTCTGATGACAGCTCATCGAGCTGATCATTCACCTTGGCCCAATCTTGTTCTTTATATGCAGCTACCTGTGCCATCAATTCTTGCTTTTCTCGTTGAACTCGGGCCTTTTGCTCAGCAGCTGCAGCATCTTTGCGTCGTTGCTCTTCTTCCTGGAATGCTTTGAGGCGCGGGTCGCGCTTTCTCATAAATGTAGCGAGATTCTATGAACCCATTTTTTTTCGTTTGTTCTTATTAAGTTAAAAGAAAAAAGTTTTTTTAACGAAAGTAAATGATGACTTACTCTAACAGTATCATTATATTCTTTGCGAGCTGTGTCGCGGGCTTTCTTATTCTCTTTTTCCATTGCTCTGCGTACTATACGGTTAGGAGCTTCCGAAAGTCTCCACTTGTCCATCCATTGAAATGATTTTACAGAGGTGAAATTTCCCCAGGCGCTGTAGAAATCGCGTACGTAAGAGCCGTAACCCATGTATCCGTCGCTGTCGGCAAAAGGTGTCTTTGAATTTCCAAAAGAGGGATAATGTGTGAAAGAAATATCGTCTTCATCAGGAGTGTCCCTGTGAGCTTCTTCTTCTTCATTCATTAATTTTTGGAATAATTTGCGATAGACAGTATAGAAACCCTATAGACAGCTAATTAGATTTAGGATTTAATTAACTAAAATTATGCATAACTTACAGTATCTGAATCATTGAAACCCTTGAATTGGGATATACTAAAGTAACTCATCAAATCTTCTGTGGTCGTGCCCGCACTACTATCACGAGATGCTTTGTGATCATCACCGCGTAAAATTGCATCTCTGTGGCCATCGTACCTAATGTTCTGTTAGATTTTTGTACCTATATAGATATGATTATTTATACCATGATCTTTCTTGAGCATCTGATAACACCTCATAAGCTTCTCTAATAAGAGCAAATCGTTCTGTTGCCTCCGAAACTCTGTCGTGATTTTTGTCTACATGAGGCGCAGTAACGTTAAGCAGGAATCTGTCAAAGTATTGTCCTGATCGTTTATTTCTTTCCAATGTAGAAACAAGTAAATAATTAATTACCAGGATGCCAAATGAGAGCCTGTCTTCTATACGCTTTTTTAAGTTCGTCATCGGTCGCTTTTCTTTCTACACCCAGCAGATCATAATAACACACCCGCATAGTAATATTTTTTTATAAAATAAAACAAAGAAGAATGAAGCTTCCACAAACTAAGATTTTCTTTACACCCACTTGTCTCGGTGACTGTCTCTTTCTCCGCTATTGTAGTATGTTACACACACTTGTGTGTGTGTGTGTTTGTTCTCTCTGCTGTCTGTGCCAAGCAAACATGTTTAAACTACTTCTTCTACCGCTACTTGGAACAGCTGTGTTTTCACAAAGCTTTGAATATGCCACTCGGTTTCCTCAAAACAAACTATATAGCTTGGACCAAGGAACAATTGGCTTAGATGATTTCGACGGCACCATTGCTGCTTTTGGAGACTTTAATGGGGACAAGTTGTGAGTGAAGAGGGTGGAGAATCCAAGTCTGAATCCTCTTGCTCAATTCTCATCTCATTATATTATGTAGTACCGATTTGTTTGTCCTAAGCTCTGACCAGTCATCGGTCTCAGTGTACACCTGGAATCATCGTAGGTTATGGATGAATGTTGTTTCGGTTGATTTACCACCCGACAGTTATTAATTCTGTTACTTTTATTTTTATTACTTAGAGAGCTTTAAATTTGTAGCTCCAAAAACAGGACCTCAGATAAAGATAGATAAATTAGTTATAACTAATATTATTCCGGGAGATTATAACTACGATGGCCTACTCGATGTTCTGGTGATGAGTCAAGAGGATGTATCAAACAACGCAGATGGAGAAATCGTTATGCGAGTCTACACTGGCAATGGAAATGACACATTTGGTCAGTCCGAAAATATATATATATATATATATATATATTGTGTATGTGTGTTTTCTTTGCTCGAATTGTTGATTTTTGTGGATAGATCCCGAATATATACAATTACCTTCTGCGCGAGGGCCTCTACCAATGGTACTGGATATTAGTGGTGATATGAGACCAGATCTTCTCGGCTATGCTTGGGATGCAACTACGGACAAGGATGAACTGAATATGTGGCTTAATAAAGGGAATTCATTAAACACAAACTCGAGTGATTTTTATGAAAGGTAAGAGTGTATATATATTATGGATTATGTAGTATAATGTTTATCAAACTGTATTTTATTACGCACACACAGAGTATCGGCGTCTACTGTATTTGATAAAGTTACCACAGGAAACTGCAAGTGGGCCCATCCTCACTCTAACGCATTTCTAGATCTGGATGGAGATTGTTTAGCTGGTAAATATAAACCGTATGAATTCGTGCTATGCATTTTTTGTTAAAGAAAGAAAGAAAAAAACTACTGTCTTTAGACCTAGTGTTTGTTTGTGAAGAAAAGAACAATCAAAAGCGTATCCAACTATGGACAAACGAGAGAAAAGATGGCTTTAAACTTTCTCAAACACTATATCTCCCTGATGGCGCTGGTGCCCTTAGCTTTGCAGACATGGGTAATTGTGTTTGGATACATATAAATGTATTTTTACTAATTATACTTCCGTGGTTTAGATGGGGATGGCTCTATAGATATTGTCTTTCCTGTCTGTCATGGCTCTACTTGCAAGATTCACGTTGTATACAATAAACAAATGGGTCTATGCTCTACGAATCAAGACTCAAATTCATCTTGTCGTAAGGCCCAAAACTTGTGTGTAGCGGATCCTGGGTTCACTTTTGATTTTGATAATCCACAAAGCGAGGTAAGTCCAGTGAAATAAATGTATATATATAAGGAGTCAATATTTTGTTGACTTTTATGTAGAACTATGTTGTTTTTGATATCGATGCCGAACTTGACGATGGCGAGTATATTCAGATGGAGGATGCTTTGTTTAGAGGGAAACTACCTGTTGCCATTCACCCAGGTAAAAAGAAAATATTTTTTTATTCAATATATATATTCTTATATGACTCTTTTTAGGTGACTATAACCTAGACGGTTACCCTGACTTGCTTGTTACCACAAATAAGCGTGCCATTTTGCTTGAATCTATCATCTGTACCACCGAATTATGCTCTAAGAAAGCCACAAGTGCCTCTAAACGATCGTTTTCTATTGTTAATAAGGGAGTTTCAGCATTGACAGATGTTACGAGACCTAGTCAAGCTGTCTTTTTTGATATTGATGAGAATGTAATTAAACGGATAAGGAAGACTGAGAAAATAGGCACTGACATTTATTATCAGGGATCCCTCGACATGCTTGTACTTCAATCCACAGGAAGAAAGGGTGCTGACCGGACACCTAACTTTGTAATCAATAACTACTTTAACGATGCATTCTTTCTCAAAGGCCTTGGTATTTTTTCCTTAACCTTATACCACGAGTATATTCAATTTATTTATCATTTAATTAGTTTCCAATGGAGTATGTTCTAGCTACTGTCCCGTAGATCCAGTACTTCCAGGTCTAAAGGTATGTGTGTCTATGTCTATAAATTATATACGAGTCAATATGGACTGTTCATTTTTCCTTTAGCCTTATGGTGTCAGTTACCCTGGAGCAACCTTTAAGTTTACTGTCCTTGACACCTCTGGCGTGAAACGAGTTCATCAAGGTAAGCAAAGTAATTTATGATGAATTGACTCATAATTTACCATAATCATATAGTTTCTCAACTTTCCCAATCTGCGTATATGCCTCTTCAAACACCATATTGCTTATTTGGCTTGGGAAGAACAAACAATTATGTAGAAGAGATGTTCGCGGGTGTAACAAGACACCAGGTAATATCTCTCAAGACTTTCTTATCATCCATAGTACAGTCTACTAACTTCTCCAATAGGAGCATAACTATCTATTCTACGAAGGCGTCATCCCAAATTCCCAGTTAATCTTCATCCCTTACCAACCGGAAAATATCAAGGACAGCTCATCGTAAGTCAATTTTTCCAAAAAAAAAAATCACAATTTCTTATCTCTCTCTCTTGTATTAGTTGGAAGGTAGAACTCTACATTCAACCTGCAGATTATGTACCATGGGTACTCGTTGCTCTTATTGCAGCGGCGTGTGGACTTGGTATTGTTGTTGGTGCACTTTATTGGGCTGAGAAGAGGGAGGATGAGACGGAGAGACGCAAGGCCCTTCATATCATCAATTTTGATGCATTGTAGATTGTAAAGTGTCTTGTTATATAATCTTCCCCTTTTCTTTGTAATTCCACTTTGTTTCTTTCTTTCTTTCTTTTTGCTTCATTTGATACTCCAACGTTGATTATCGTATTCACTGGTTGATAAGCGTACTTACACTTTAAAAAGCCTATCGATCTCTTGTGTCGAGCCTCAATATATATATATATATATATATATACACGAAAAAAAATGAAAAAGAAAAAAATGGAACCCGGGATTTAACAACTGAGTCCAATAACAGTCTTAAAATAGTGTTATAAGTGATAAGTTTTATTTCTCCATGTTGAGTTCCTTCTTTGTCTGAGCACCAGTAAAATCCCATTTTCTCTATAGTAAAGTATAATATTAGCCCTGAATACAATAAAAAAAAGCGAATAAAAGTTCAAATATCTATCAATCTTACATCGGTCTTGTAGGACAAAATTGTCAGACCAACGGGAATGACAATACCCCAGAAAAGGGTCTTGTTAACGGTTCTTTTGTTCCAGCGGAAGTAGAGATGAGTGTTCTCACGGAGATGAGCCCATCTTTCAAAGGCAGGGTCTTTCTGGAGGCCGGCCATAGTGAGTGTATATGAGTTACAAAACAATAGAGGCGTGTTTGAAGAAATCCATAAACCATGTCGATCGTGACTGTTATCGCTACATCATCATAAATTTAGATAGCGCTAAATGTATCAATGCATTGGAATTTGATCGGTCAATGCGGTCTTAACACCAAAATTCTATGAGTAGAAATAGAGATATATATGATGCTAGAGTTACTATGTGATTCAGATTGGAAGTTTTGCGGTTGATTTTTTGTTTATGTAAGACTTCTTGCAAAAGTTATAAATGAGCTTATTATAGCTTCTTTCTTTTTGAAAGAAAAATGGCTATAATTTGATCATTAAAACCTTTTTTTGTGCGTTTGTGTGTTGCTTGTTTCCCTAGAATAGGTTGCATAATTTGGGTAGAAAATTATGATCACAATTGAGCTGCCTCAATTGTCGTACGCTGTGATATTTGTGTAATTCCTAGCTCTTTGTGCATAGGGTTTAAAATAAAGAAGGCACTTGTAATCTTGTAATTATGGAACAAGTTGTAATAAGAATGCAATACTATTTTATCGACCCACTCTTATTGTGTTTACTACTGTCGTGACTCGATCATCCTGTCAATGCAATAACCAGTCACTTGGCCAACAGATATCAAGAAGTTGTTTCCAAGGACAACCCTAAACCCCGATTTTGTCTCTTTCTTTTTCTCTCTTGTCTCTCGCTCTTTCTACGCGTGTGCCTATACACATATATCTTTATTTATGCAGACCACCCATACATCAACAGCTGCCAGACAATCTCAAGACGTCTCCGCCAGCAAACTTAAACGACTGCTTGACCACAATGAACATTTGAAAGATCAGCTGAATGTCCCGAGAACAACTGTTTCTGAAGCAGCTACAAGGTTCATTGCCCTCATTGCCGAATATTTAATGCTTACTATTCTCATAGACTTGTAGATTATTGCAACAGTACAAAAGATCCATTGGTTCCGTCTGTGTGGGGAGCTGTGGATAAAAAAGAAGATCCTTATGGTCCCACCAAGAAATCCCACTGCTGCACCTTGATGTGAAACCATCATATTTCAATTCAGCCGTATCAACTCCATATATTTGTATATAATCCCCCTCTCTCTCTTTCTTTATTTCCCTTTTGCTTTTATATTTAGTTATTATTAATCCGTTGGCATTAATTTTTCTGTCTGGGTTTCTCTATCTCGGACTATCAAGTACATATTATACACATATCAATGTATTATCTCTTAGTATTATTTAATTTTTCGATATATATATATATATATATTCATTTATTCATTTATTCATTTATTTATTTATTTATTTATTTATACATCATGATATTCATGAATCGTAAATCGAGCACGGACACCTCTTCGGTTAAGGAATAGAAATTCGCGAAGATCAGTTTTTAATACCACCTCTTTACTTGCAGACTTGCGGCCTTCTTCTTCTTTGGCCGGTTGGATAACCTTAAGATTAGTCTGGTAAAGATATGGTACTAAAAACGGTGTTGGATCTTCGGTGACAAGGATGAGCTTTTTTTTCGTTTTGTTTTTTAAAAAAAAGATAAATGCATAGGCAATGATATTCAATTAATAAAAAAAACCTTATTTTGTGAATTGCATGTTATTCTTTTGCTGTACGGGACTTACATGTACATAGTTGAAGTTTGGCTTATTAGGATATACAACAGCAGGAGAAACCATGACCTGATAATTTAATATATAAGTATAAGAAAAGGTATAAGCGTATCTATATATGTATATTCATATACAGAAGGATCTCTATTTGTACCTGTTGAATCTTCGAAATATCTTGTACTGTATCAAGTTCGACACGGTTGATAGCTCTGGCTTTTTTCAGTTCAAAATTGGGGACAATTCCACAATTGATAATCTGTACAATTAATTAGACTATTGTCTAAATATGTATATTCCTAAGGATCTCCATATAACCAAGCACTAATTAAGGAGAGGGAAAAAATACCTTGAGAGGAATAACATCGGATCCAACGTCCTTGATTCGTTTCTTATTTAACATAATGGATATCATTATTACTCTCTCTTAATTAAAGCGTGGTAGAGACAACACATATCCTTTAATACTCACGACTTCTTTATCAGACTGTGATTGAATCCAATTCTTTGCAAGAACATCAATTTCAGAGCACTCTTCCACAGTGGAATCCTGCTGTGTTTCAGTGACAGGATTCAATGTGTTTGCCATGATTAGTTGAAACTAGTAATCTATACATCTCTTTTCTTTTTTATATTCTTTTTTTTTTCAAGTTCCAGAAAAAGCGTCACGATTGTTCAGTCCCAGCGCACAAAAATGCAAGTGTCTCAACAATGGCATCTTATTTATTAACAATGGCCGAACCTGTCAAGACAACATCTACTCATTCAGGAATTCTTCCCACAGGTGCCGATGGAAAACCGCTCAAGCCATGCTGCTCATGTCCCGAGACTAAGAAGGCACGAGACCAATGTGTATTTGAGAATGGCGAAGAGAACTGTGGGCCTTTGATTCAAGCTCATCTCAAATGCATGCGTGATTTGGGCTTCAAGATTTAAATAAAGAATATAGACACAGCAGTTTATATTCAAAACTGTTTTTTAAAATATTACTATAAAATAATGGATTAACTTTGATAAAAAAGTAACAGTATATCCATAATAAATTTACAGACATTCACTGCCCTAATTTACCCTATGTCGGCTACTCTTGTTTTCTCTTTTACTTCCTATTTGTAGAGTATTAATTCCTTAAATCTGCAAGGGAATAACAAAAAACAATAAGTAATTGTTACAATAATAACTTTGTTTGTACTAACCAATTATTTCTAAGAATGTTATTGGCATACAAAATATTTCTCACGCATCTATATTTATTTAATCCTTGGATCGAAAATGAAGACAAATCAACACAGTAAGCTTATGTACTCTTATTTTAGTATTAAACACAAATTGGACAAAGATCAGGTTAGTTAGCTTGAATATTTTTTTGTCTATCCTAAAAATAAAGAAAAAGAATGGGGAGATTGATACACTAAATACAAAAGTCAATCAAGTAAATATATATATATATGTGCGCGTGTGTGTGTTTCTGTTTGTTTAAATATTATTAAATATGAATATAAATATGTATATATATTTTTGGGAAAATGGCTAAATGAATAAGGGTTGGGATACTAAAGTTTGTTATTACAGAGAGAGAGAAATAAAGCACATGTTCTCGAACAGTTATTATATAAAAAGATGGGAGTAAGAATTAGGTGGATAGAAATAATTAAACACGGGCAGGGATATTTTCATGCTCGTTAGCAGGGGTGTGTTCGTATTCTTCGATTTGAATACCCTCAGAATCACGCTTGATGTGAGTAGCTTCAGCTAAACCAGCGTGAGCTTCAGCAAAACGTCCTACTGGGTTACGTCTAAGAGTAGAGTGACGAATACCATATGCAAAGTAAATGATCCAGCCAATACCCATCCATACGAACAAACGCTATAAATTACACAAGCCATTAAAATAAGTTTCAAAAAAAATTGCGTGTGTCTGTGTATGTGATAAACTTACCCAGATAGTGGTGACCTCAGCCACGGCGATCAATAGAATTGAAACAACCATACCACAGAAAGGAACCAAAAGAGAAGGGTATTTTCCTCCAGGAATTCTGAAGCGGCGCTCCACATCAGGGCGTGTGAATCGCATTACGATCACGCCTGCGTGAACGACGAAGAAGGCCAACAAAGTACCAACTGAAGTCATGTTACCAAGCAAGTCAACAGGCAATACAGCGGCCAAAATGGCAGTGACAGTGCCGACAATCAAGGTGGCAATGTAAGGTGTCTTGAAGCGAGGGTGAACAGTAGCAATAAAGGCAGGAAGAAGTCCATCTTTTGCCATAGAGTAGAACACGCGAGACTGCGCAAGCAAGTTGATTAGCAAAACAGAGGTGAGGCCACATAGAGCACCGAGAGTAACAATGATGTTGAGCCACTTGAAGTTCTTTCCAGTGTGTAATTGGACAACATCAACGGCAACAGTAACAGGGGTAGATACACCCAACAGCGTGTAGTTTGCCGCACCAGTCATGACAGTACAGGTAGCCAAGTAAAGCACAGTACTAATGATTAAACTTCCAAAGATACCGATGGGAAGATCACGCTTGGGATTCTTGGCTTCAAGGGCAGCAGTGGTAACAGCATCGAAACCGATATAACTAAAAGAGTATTAGTTCCTCTTATTCCAACATCCTCTTTTTTTTTGAAAAAAAAAGAAAGAAATAAGAGTAATAGTAACAATAAAGGAAATATTTACCTGAAGAAGACGGTGGTTGCTGCAGCAAAGATACCTGGTGTACCAAACTTGTGCCAATCACCAGTAGTGTTAGGAGGAATATAAGGATGATAGTTATTAGTATCGACAAAACCGCAAAGGGCAAAGATAAACATTAAGATGACGAGAAGCTTGATGATGACGATTCCAGAGTTAATCCATGCAGACTCACGGATACTGAACAAAAAAGGATTAGGATACGGATATCAAATAAGTCTTGTCACTTACCCAATGCACAAGACAATTGTAACCAGCATAATAATAGTGAAACCGGGGACATTGAAATACTGTCCATCCTCAATACTAATAGAGGTTGGGCTCTCATTCCACTTGATAGGAGGCTCGGTCCAGCTAGGTGAGAAGTGGGCGTTGGCTGCAACAGAAAAGAACTTTACAAAGTATCCAGACCATCCGACACCGACTAAGGAAGAGCTTAAGGTTAACTGGGAATGAACACCATAATAAAATAGGGCCTTCGTTTTTCTTTAAATTGTCTCTTATATTACTTTACCTGTGGCAGCACCAACCATGTACTCAAGGATCAAATCCCAGCCAATAATCCAAGCAACAAACTATACAGAGAAAGATGTTAAAAAGGATGTATTGAGGCAGGCTTGGCAAAGCCGAGCCATTCCAAAACGAGATAAAGTATGTATAATCATAAATAGAATTGGATGATTAAACGGGTCAACTTACTTCACCCATAGTGGCGTAGGCGTAGGTGTAAGCAGAACCAGCAACAGGAATCATGGAAGCCATTTCAGAGTAACTAAAGGCAGCAAATGCTAAAACAAGATATGTTTATATTACTATTAAATTCGTGGTCGTTTTCATTTGAGTGCCTTTATTCTCTTACCTGAAGCAATGGCAGCGATAATAAAGGAGATTGTGATAGCGGGTCCAGCATTGTTTGCAGCAGCAGTACCGGACAAGACAAAGATACCAGTACCAATGATAGCACCGATACCGAGGAAAATGAGTTGCCAGCTTGTTAAGGCTCGGTTGAGACCAGAGATTTCGGCTTCACCAAGAAGTAACTCGACGGGTTTGATTTGACCAAGACGACGAACCCAAAATCTACTTGATTTCTCGTCTGGACGTTGAAGATAGCTGTGGGGATCAGCAGTGACATAACGGGTTGTAATACGATGGCGAAGTGTTTCATGAATTTCATGTCCAGAGACACTTTGGACATGAACAGACTCTTTCTCACTTGACATTAGAAAAGTGAAAGATAAAGAAAGGTGTGTTTGACTTTATTTGGGAATGTAAAGACCAAATATACTTTTTAGCCTCCAGTATTTATACGCCCAGCTAAAAAAAAAAGAAAAAAAAAGTCAAAGCACAGAGCTGATCTCACAAGTTGCTGGGTTGGTTTTATTTTTTTGACTGGTGATAGTAACCACTTCAATTTAAGATTGGGTTAACACTATCTGTATCGTATGTCACAATTAAAATTAAGCAAATATATATAAAAACAAAGATTACAATTGGAGGCAGTTAGGTTACAATACGTTTTTATTTTATTTTATTTTATCTTATTATTATTATTATATTGATCGGGACAGTTGTACGATTTGACTTTTTGGATAAAGAGATCTTACTGTAGCACTGTCAGAGGGTTTGGTTAGTGTAGCCAAAGAAAAGTGGAAGCTTAATTTTCCAAGATTTCCGTTGGGCAACATCTTTTCCTTTTCCTTCTTTCTTTTTACAATTGTGAGGGGCACATGTAGCTTTTTGATTTTGAGGTAACCTTCTCTATTTAGAAAACCGTGAATTTTCTTGTCATGCGCACTCAAGATATCTTTAAGGATTCCGCTCACCACAGTGCGCCATCAGAGTTTATCATTAGTAGTACACGCAAATTTTCATCATGCGCCTGTTGAATATGTATTAGTCTCTGTAGAAGTGCAAAGTTATCATCAAGAGGTCTAGTCTAGGTTTTTGGTTTACTAAGCTTAGCTCTGTAGAGTGATCTTGTGTTCATATTATTCCAATAATAAATTTCGACAATTGTGAGAATTTATCTTTATTATCATCCACAAAACTACAGTTTCTCTCACGTAAGATAATCAATGTAACATTATATATTAAATATACACATGTAAAATGTATAACAGAAGTATTAACAAGGTAAATTTATGCTACTATGAGTCAGTAAATATCTGCTCATAGATTAATGGCAGAGTAGCACCTTTAATTTATTATACAAATACTTTTTATATTTATTTTTATTTTACTTATTCACATAGCGTACAAGCTAACTACTTGAATAATCTGTCGATTGTTGTATCACTAATTGTATTTCTATTATCTTTCTGCATTATCTCACATTATCTTGAAAATTATGCCCTTGCTAATTTAATGATAATGATAATATAACTTGTAATTTTATTGTTTTGTTTTGTTCTTTCCTTTCTTCGTAAAATAAAAAATTAGATAAAGGTCGTGGGAGAGAAGGTAATCTCATATTGTACTCAGTCAACATATAGAATGGTAGCTCAATCTCGCAAAACTATTAATACGTGGGATAATTGTATCCAAAACAAAGAGGTATATCTAGGGTGTAGTGTAACGAAAGTTAAAAATGTAACAAGTCCCCCAACGAAGTACTTTACAGCCATCTTTCCATATTTATTATTGTTACAAACTAATCACACATTAACATATGTAAATGACGCGAAAAGCTATGTGGTGCGATTTACTATTATACTTGACTTGAACTGACTTGCCCCGATCTCAAGTACCTTGTAACCCTTGTGGATCAGAGAATTAATACACACGCCTAGAGAGAGAGAGAGAATGGCCAATAGGATTGCAAATAAGACGTAGACTGGGTAACCAAATCATTTAAGTTGGTCAAGGTAAAATGAGCGCGGAGACACTAACTTCTTTTTACCCAATTGTTTTTTTCTTGATAATAAATACCACCCAGATCAGGACAAGATATATACTTGGGTACCCTAGTATTCAACCCTGAAAATTCAAGATAACTAAGACTTGGGATTTGAGATTACGTTTTTGTCCTATCTCGCTGAGTATCAACTGCAAAACTTAATCTGACTGATAAGTCTGTATGCACTTCCTTTTAAAGAAGTGGTTCGTGCGACTGATTAAATAAAATAATAAATATGAGTATTACTTATATATACATATATATCAATCTTAATAATATGAGCTATTCTATAGGTTCACTCTTGCCGTATGTTCGTTCATTAATCATAGTAATTTTCGGAGAAGGCTGGATATGTACACACAAACACACACTTTTATATATAGATTTATTATATGGTGAATGTATTCATGTATTGTATATTCTAAAGAAAGGAAAGAAGAATGAAAAAGAGAAGGGGAAGAAAGGGAAAGAGAAGGAAAGAAGTATGTATCTTTTTTCTTTTCAAAAAAAAATTCATGAAATCAAAATTCAGTCTTGTATTTATACTTGTTTCGATGAAGTGAAAACCATTCACATATGCAAGACACTCTAACATAGAAACAAATTAATTGAGTAAAAAACCTATGAATAATGTACATTAAACAACAAAAATTTTGTACTTATTACACGAGTTACAAATAATTTAAATATTGATAAGGCTTGCCCATAATAGAACATTCGACTTACTAAATAATCAAAGAAATACTAAGTCTGTCAACAGATATTTTCTTACGATTAAAGCGCCCAAATACTTTTTTCCGTATTGTCTAACAAGATCTTACTTGTATTAACGCCGTAAATTACAAATAAAGGTACATAAACAGACACAGAATTTAGCGTTTTAGCTTACTGTAGTATAATTATGGACTACCAGTGATGTGATACTATTGTGTCTACTCGTACAAGACCATTAAATATAGTAATAATCACAATATATATATATTGCGATTTCAAAGGTATACAAGCATACTAGAAAACACCAAGATAAATTTAATTCTAGAAGATTAAATAGACTTATTTTGATGTTTTATTATAATATCCTCTGATATACAGACCCAGGTGTGTTTGCCTCATTATTGAAAATAAAGCATAAAACTATTAGTCCTTAGATTTGGACATACTTTTTTTCTGTCAAAAAAGGAATCTGAATACTCACAAAGTAACACTACTCTATAGACCGAGATATATATATAAGTAACATTTGTACTCTGAAAACATCTTCTGTGCGACTTGGCCGAAATAACTTGGTCTTTTATTATAAGAATAAAACTAAAACAAATGAAAGATATTATTGATTTACAATCTGACACGAATTCGAGTATCTTTTACAGACTATTGGTCTTAATATTATTATATCCATTATGTCTATAAATCGTTCACAAAATTCAATATGTTAATAATAGTTTCCTAGGCTCTTGTGTAATAAAATGGCTTGTTGTTATCCTATGTGGCTATATCTTAGAAAGAAAAGAATAACTGCTTGTATAAAACTCGATCTGACGGAAATATGGGACATGCTCAGCAGATCCAAAACTATACTCATTTTATCGATAAATGTTACAAACACTGCTTGTGCATCAGCTGAGACAGCCATCTTAGCATACTCAAACCAGAAATAAATCTTGAACTGAAATAGGATTAGGCTTCTTTAATCTCATAATCACTAGAGTCAAAGATAACAACAGTCATATAATATAATAGTGATCAGTATCTTTAAAATACCTATATATCAATAAAAATAAAGACGTGTGCCCTATATTCACAGCCAGGGTTTTTTCAAAATAGGTCAAGCATTCTTTTGTAAACCACATTTTTTTTTGTGATTTTACTCTTTATCTCGGCAACACAGTCTTGTAACATATCTTTAAGCCGATTTGTAAACTACTGTACTTGAGGACATATTAGAGAGAGTGACTACTTGTTCATTTTTGAATAAGTTTATGAAAATCATCCAAATGGGGTTTTTATTCTTGATATTCCGCACATCCTATTTTGGATTGCTTCAAATTTACTCGATTGTAGAGGTTTGTGGACTCAGATTTGCAGACACAAGAGTGAATTTGGTTACTTAAACTGGAATACTTGTGTAATTGTATCACTTTGTATTACTTGAAATTTTGAAAAAGTCATTTTATTTTGTCAAAAAATCTGGCAAAGTGAAATCAAATTTTCAATTAATAATATTCTCTCAATTTTTATCCTAAACTGACAGCAAAATCACATATACAAACAGCCTTAATTTTACAAGGATATATAGATATGTTTAAACTGTTTTTGATATTGCTGCCTTGATAAGGCTTCTTTTTTATTATGTTATATAAAGCTTATACTTACAGAAATACATTTTACGGTAAGCTTATTAGAGTTTCTTTTAAAGAAAAAGAGAAAATAAGTGCTTTTTTCATACAATATTTCTTTTAAGAAATAATGTTAAAAAGTAGTTCGTTTGTTTAGAAAAAATACAAATCCGACACCATTTTGTGACAGTGAAAACTTAATATAGAAACTTCTTTGAAAAAATGATTTTTGGGGGGTTTGCATTTTTTCAGTCGGTGTTTTTGTACAACTGAAAATTTGAGTCCACAAACTTCTCTTGTTATTTATAAATGAACTCGATTTTGAAGGAAAAGATGTAATTTTTCAACCCAATTTTGAATAGGCTAAAAATGGTACTGTATATTTAAGCACTATTTATGTTATAAAACAGCACTCCATATTTGTACGTTTTTCATAATTCAAATTTGAAAAAGAGTTTTTGTGATTCAATTCTTGCATTTACATCTCAGATATTCAATAAAAATGGTAATCTTCAAAAATGAATAGGTCACCACGGGAGATTTTCGATATCAAATTTGGAAATATTTTACTCACATACATTTTGATTGGTCTATATAACCCAGATTAATCGGGATATCGAATTTGACCCATTTTATGAGACTTGTCAACTACATAAGGCAATTTTAAAAGGGCAAGTATCCATAAATGGACCCTCTCAATATTTTGGCAAAACCGAAAAATGACGGTGAAAATCACAATTTTTTTTTATTGAATAATTTTTTTTATTAATAAAGATAAAAAAAAATCAATACTGTCGATTCGAAAACAAGGAAACAAAGAACCAGTAGGAGCCAAATTTACTGAGATTGATGACAAGCTTGTTGTTAAATTCTGTGTGCATATCAAGCTTACATACAATCTTCAGCTGATCGAGTGGAGTAGATGCATCATTGGAAACCTTTTGCGCGAGGAGGTAGTTGTTAACTTGAGCGTGGGACTACTCTCAACTCGATAGTGTTCTACTCTCAAAGAGGAAACCTTTCCAATAAATGGATGGGCATGTTGGTCTCTACTCTCCTTGAGCATGAACACCGCAAAGGTATTGTCACAGAGTGCTTTTGCTGTAATGTCATCAGTGTCGTTATTATCAGCAAAGTCTCTTGATCCACTAAACAGGATATTCTTAACATTGTCGTTAAAGTTTTCTTTAAGAAATTCTGCCGTGGAATTACCATACTTCTCTCTCATTTTGTCTTTGCTCACCCATGAACCACCATCAATGATGTGTCTCATTGCAGATTGCTTGGCGAACTTGAGACATACATCTCTTGAGGTGTTTAACCTATTGGTATGCATTAGGTGTTCACGGATGTGTTTGTTAAACTGCTCACCTTTTTCGGTCTCGTAGTGTAGAGCAGTTCCAAATCTTCGTAGATCGTCGGGCAGATGTGTGAGCAGGTGAACCTTGGGCTTCGAGGAATACGGATTATGTCCTTCGATTTCACAGGTAATGACATAATGATGCAGTTCTTGGATAAGGCTTGTAACTGCCTTTTCAACTTCGTCGATGTACATATTATAATCATACCTTACTGCTCTAACAAACACCAAGGAGCAAAGACGGCCAAGACGGACAAAAGGTGGAGTTATGAGAGAGAGTATACTATCATTTGCAAATTCTGTAACTAAGATAGCGGGTAGAATTTGCAGAAGAACTTTGTAATCCCTCCCAAGGAATGAGCCACAGTGTCGTAACTCTCGAGTGAACTTTCTTGACATTCCTTGAGAGTTTTCATAATCGTTGAGGGCTTTGGACAATCTAGCCATTTGGTTAGGATTTTTCTTTAGTACAACCTTTACCAAATCATTGACTAGATACTTAGCAACTCCAAGAAGTATGTTATGCAGAACTTCAACTGGAGTATCTGTCGATGGATCGAATGACTGTAGTTCCAACAATGCATCTGTTGCCCTATTTGCGAAGCATAGGTCGCTTGCTGTCAGAGCATTTCCAGTCAAAGGAGCATCTGGAATAGTCGATCCACGTCCCGAGGTAGACGCAGCAGCAAGATAGTGTGCCTTTGTTCTTGCTGTGTGTCTACCAGTATAATACGAAGAGCTTTGGAGGTTGGGCATGGATCTTTGTAAACGGACATAACATTTGCGGCATGGGTACAGACTTGTCGGCGCGCGCAAACCACATAGTTCAGAATGGCATGGAGTGTCTGCCTCGATCCAAAGGAGTGGTGATGCTACTAAGACGTTTTCGTTGTCTTTGGCAGAGAACATCACCAGTCCGTTTTCGAGCCTTTTGAAATCTTCAACGATTTTAGGCAACAAGGACATCCCACTTGCCCCCTTTTTCTTGGGAATAGCAGAGAGAAAGTGGATGTTTTCAATTGAAGACCTCTCTTCGTAGGAGAGAGCAGCAAACTTCATTGACCAGCTTTCGTACGGGTTATATTGCTTTGATCGGTTTCCGGAGGTGTCGTCGGTGAAAAGTATAATGGGCGATATCCTCACCTTGTAAAACAACTTTGGATCGATCGGCTTTCCGGTTTCGTCTAGTACGTGCCGTTTTAAGAAATGAGGCTCTTCCAGCAAGGACTTGTGCCTGGGAATCAAATGAAAGACTTTCCCAGGTGAGACGCTGTAGCATAGGGCAACATCAACAGGGGTCGAGTCAACACCGAGAAGAGTTTCAAGCTTTATGTTAGTAGATTCAACTTCGATTCCAATGAACTGACCGCCTTCCAGAATATAAACCATGTAGCCTTGAACAAAAACGGCTGAGTTATCCATGGTATGGAATGATTCTACTAGGAAACGGGCTGGAGTGGAACCATTCATAAAGTTAACAATATCACCAGACCAAAAATCTACGCCGTTGTGGGTGAACATAGGTTGTTGATAGTACCAATGTGTTCTCCACTTTTCGCCTTGTTGTAGACAAATGGAATGGTTAGGAGTGCGGTCAGGGAGGGAAAACATGTTTCTTGCTTTCTTGGGGTTGGCAGCAAGAAACCGGACGTGGTCTGAAGGCAAGTTGATATAAGCAGACGTGGTATTGTTTTCCGGCAACTAGATATCGACTTTTGTGGATGGAAATACAGGAATCTTGGACTTTTTCCTGGTCTGATAGTTCAAGAGGGCATCCAAACGAGGTAACTTGAACGGGGACTTCTTTCGGATAGCTTCCTCGTGAAGCTTAAGGACAAGACTTATGGTAAACAGGATCTTTTTCAAGATCCTGCGAGATACCATGTCTTTATCGCCATCAACAAAGACAAGCAGTACCATAGACTGGAGATCCGGGAACGGGTGGGTGTCTGATGTATACTGGTTCCATGTCGTATGCGATCCAGTTGCTTCTCTCAGTAAATCGAGATCTGCATCCAACGATGAGCTGGTATTGGATGCAGAAGACAACATACTATTTCTTATATGCATGTATAGGTGGTTACCTGGACTTGGACTTTCAAAGGGGCTGGTGTCCTCATCCATCTCGATAATACTTTCACCGGCATCGAGTTCAATCTCGCTAACATTATCGTCGCCATCGCTGTTTATGTCGTCAACATCGCTGCTGTCGTCATCCTCCAAATCGGATTCAACGTGTAGGTCTTCGTTAACGGAATCGTCATTGTGATCAGGGGCGGTCGGCTCGGCAGTGTTCGTGGTCTGACTTTGTGACGCTAAATTTCTATCGGCATATTGAGGGCTAATATCGTTAGCAATATGAGTTGCTAACTTATGATATTTGGTAAGGTGGCGTCGTAGATTCCATACGCGATCGAAATCTTTTCCACAAAGTGAGCAGGTCTTTCCGATATCGTCAAAGGCAAAATTGTGTTGACCTGGTCCTTTGGGAGCAGAAACTACCACCCTAGAATTTTTTGGGTAATTAATAATACGCTGCATCACAGAGCTTTCGTGATGCAACGTATTGTCTAACGTGATAAAGGAGTATAGACGACCACCATATATTTATTTATTTCTGCATCTTGAAACAACAAGTCGATTTCTTTCAGGAACCAATGAAAAGTGTTATTCATGTAACCAGTAATAAGCGTATAATGGTCTTCAAAAACCAATGAAATTCATTAATTTGTTACAGTTTAGCTTGACACAAAAAATAAACATTGAGTGCCTTTTTTTGTTTCATACAATTTTTTTCATTTTTCTAAAGATCAGGCAACAAATGGCACATGATCATGCTACTCATTAGCTAATTATACTACAGATCAACTCTGATCCTCTCACATGATTAAGATCTTAAAAGGTATTGCTAATGATGTGATTCTATTACGAGTTCTGATTAATAAAATCTAATTGAAGTATAATAGGGCATGTGAATTCTTGACATAAAAAGGTATGTAAAGAATCTTGCTCGTATACTGATTTTATCCATACTAACATAAACATATGTCTTCTTCTTTTTTGCTTTGTTTTTTTTTGTTTTTGTTTTTGTTTTAGATTCAATTAATATGTGGTAAGTCATCTAAAACATAGTAATCTTCATTAAAAGTCCATGTACTAATGACCTTTGTTTTTTTTGCAGGTTTGACATTTTCGCTCGGATTTGAAACGTGTCCTTCCAATAGCTTCTTTGCTTTTATTTTAAAAGCATTAATATGGTTTTTGCTTTCAAACATCCAATTGGGTTTTTCAAAATTCTACTTGCTTTTGTTTCTGGAAACATTTTCAGAATAGCTATTAAATATTTCTAGCTGCTAGTGCAAGCATACCTACCCTACAGTAGCAGCTACCGCAGGGTAGGTATGGGAAGCCTAAAATTATCTACCCCCAATATTTTCAACCCATAAAAATAAATAAAATCGTATTTTACCAGCCAATTTTTTTTTTTGCGATCCCATTTATCAATTTTGCGATTCTTTCGGACCTGAAACTTCAATGAAAAAGCTATTCCCAAAATGGTAACATAAACTCACGGGCTGAATTACAAAATTGTTACACGAAAAATCTGCCGTGGTGGTAGTCACCCTCTCTATTAATTTGTCAGATTAATGTCAGAAGATTTATAAAGAAGTATAAATGTTCTCTGTTGTTATTGAGCTTCTCCGTGCTCTTTTTGAGTGTATTTATGAATTATATCTACAATAAAGAAGCTACTTTTATTAGAGCTGCCTTATGCGTGTTTCAATACCATCGATAATATATAAAGTAGATTAAGCATCGATTTTATGTCTTTTTGAACTTTATTTTACCTTTAAAAATTCCACTATAACCTTTTTAACTAAGTATGATCCTCTTGAAGTAGTACTAGTTTTTTGTAGTATGTTAAGCTACCTAGAGAACCCGACGAGCTGGCTGTAGGGACAGATTTCTCACCTTCTTGATCTTTTGTACTGGAGGTGACGGTATGTACTGGTGAATGACCAAGTTCTTTCTGTTTCTTCTTGTAGTTTTGTTTGATTTATTTGGTACCATAGTTGGTTAGATATTAATAAATGTATGACAGTAATAAAGATTGTGATTTGTAAAAAAAGTTGATGTATAAAATAGAAAAAAGTTGATTTATTATTAGTTTTATACCCAAGACTTGGAATGTTATGTTATTATTTTATTAGATGACAAACATAATGACTTTTAGAGAGAATTAATTGATATTTCACCCTGATATTTTAGTATGTTTTAGCTGAGAGTCTTATTATATATTTAATGCAAGGAGTATTGAAAATTAATTATTGTATATGTCTTCATGAATTTGTAGGATAAGGTTCTCGCTATTCGACTAGATTAAGTAGAAGTAGAAAACTTAGGCTTATCAAAAAAGGAAGTTGAGGTCGGTATAAGAGAAATATACCCCGATAAGCTTAAGTCGAAGTAGAAGCTTAATCGACTCTTGACATGCTCTCTAGTTTAGCTCCATTACATTTCCCGACCGTGACGTACACCTCAATATAAAAATGAAGGGAAACCTTACGGACAGCCTGGACAGCCTTGGCGGCCTGAAAGTATACGATATCACTCATAATAAGAGGTTTAATGGCTTTACATATTTTTTGGGTCGGGGTCAGACTTTGCAGCAATCTTACGGTAACCATGTTTCCTGGTGGGATACGATATTTCTATCTTAACCAGACTAATCAATTCTGACGACATGTCCGGAGACCGGGGTCTATTTAATCCTTCAGGACAAAACGGCGTGCCCTCAAAGAAATACAATATATTCATTGTACGCATTAGCTTTATTACTTTGTCCCTACACTTTGTATTCATTAATTTAAGAGTCACAGCCTGTATTTGAGCAACTTAATAACAAGGTGCTGTCTCATACGAAAATCAAATTCTGTAGATTCAATTAGTAACCCTAAATATAGACTTGACAACAAAGAAATAATAGTTAGGGGCTTCTCTTGAATCTACAGAATTTGATTTTCGTATGAGACAGCACCTTGTTATTAAGTTGCTCAAATACAGGCTGTGACTCTTAAATTAATGAATACAAAGTGTAGGGACAAAGTAATAAAGCTAATGCGTACAATGAATATATTGTATTTCTTTGAGGGCACGCCGTTTTGTCCTGAAGGATTAAATAGACCCCGGTCTCCGGACATGTCGTCAGAATTGATTAGTCTGGTTA